GATAGCTTTGAGACGCGCCATTTTGATGAAGGCAAACCCTGTGGTGAGCCGCCCCATGCACATCGCTTGTTTAGCGGTCGCGCATGCTCATGCAAAAAAGACCCCTGTTCTACGTACCAAGGTCACGATTTCCGGTGTCGGTGATTATCGATGACTTGCATTTTAAAATTTCATGGCGAGTTTCTACTTCATTGAAAGCACGACAATTCGGTCGCGTACAGCGGGATAGCTTAAAAAACAAGAATCGGTGAAATAGCCATATTCAAACTACCCCACTGAACACCCAAGCAAGGCAGAGAAGAAGCGTACGTGACTGAAATACAAGCCGCGAAGCAGGAGCACCCAACCACGGTTACCTCCTAAATGCATTGAAAACACTTTTTCGCTTATCCAGAGTACTTTCAAATCTCTAGAAATGCATTCTAAGCGGCGCTATAAAAGTTGTATCTGTTCGGTCGTCCTAGGGCAACTTCAATCTTTTCGAAATCACTTAGGGCCTCAGTATTATTTTCCCGAAAATTTTAGATGCAATTTTAGGTTTTACAAAAGTGAGAAGTTTTCTGATTTCTCTCTCCATCGCATTTTCTAATCCGAAAATTTTAGATTTCGTTTTTCAACGAAAAATAGGCTAAGTTGGGGGCTGAAATGTGAAAAACTAAACTTTAGAAAATCGTAGGGAATTAATTAGATAAGCTACGAAAACTGTACATGAATGGAACGGCCATCTAGAAATTTTTAGCCTTCCTCAAGTAATAGAAAATTGTAGGCAATTTTTGCTTCTCCGAACAGATATTTTACAGAAAACAGTCGTTCGGTGCCCCTGCCTAAGCTCTATGACATTTTTTTTAGGCACAACCTGTCTACATTCACAGGAAGGGAGAAGGTTCTTTGCTTTTAAGCGAATTCGAATTGATGTTGTTGTTGTTGTTGTTTAATAAAAATAGAACTATTTTAATTAAACAACAACAACAACAACATCACATTTTTTTTATGGATGTCGCGGAGCTTTTCTCTATTCCACCCCCCCCACCCAACAACTAGAAGATGTTCACGCGCCATTTGCTTTTTGAATTCTTCTTATTTGTTTTAATGACATTGATTGCATCGATTATTACCTTTTCCAAAAAAAAAAAATTGGAAAAAAAAATGTTGCCCTCGACCCTCGACATGGAACCCTCGACCCTCGACCCTCGACAAAAAGATAGACTCTGCAATTCATCACGGTCTGGAACAACGTGAATGACATGTTGAAAACATTACTTGACAGCTTGGTGACAGCTTGCATCGAAATTTAGCGAATGGGAATTGCCCGTGGCTGGGAGAAGCGGGTAATTCGAACGAATATAACGTATGCAAAACGGACAGTCCGTATTTTTAGCGTCTCTCCCCAGTCTCGCTCTCTGTTTTCAGCCTCATTCCAGACCTTTTGTTTGACTGCTTGCGTGTACTTGAATACGCAAAAATACGGACTGTTTTGCAGTCTAAAATCAGTCCCTCATCAAGTTTCATAAAGATAATTTTAGGTGGCTTAATAATTTGTAACAGAATAGGTATAAGGTGCAAAGCCAGGTGAAGGGCATGGAAGTGAGTCAAATTTGCTGGGTTGGTTCCCCTCAGAAGAGTAAATAAAACATGAATGGACTTTCCTTTTAAGGCCGCTCTACAATTCAGGCAAGGAAAACGGCTGTTAACTGTTCTTACGGCTTAAGAAAGCACTTGTTTCAAAGGCTCACACCTCGGGGAACGAAATATGGTCCATCATCTAGTGCTACACCTTTAAAAGGCTAGCGTAGTTTACACATAAACGTAATGGAGTTTTCTCTTCCTTTCAATAGATAGATCTTCCTCAGACAAACATGTAAAAAAAAAACAAGAAGAGGGATTTTAAATTGGGAAGAACATTTCATGTCAGGTGTTCGTGTCATGCATTTTATAGTAAAGTCACTTTTACACGTTCGATACACACCTGAATGCAAGAATTAAAGTTTTCTGTATAAAGCAATGAAGCACCTGCTCACAAGAGTCGAATAATTATGGCCTGGAGCATTACTGGATCACGTCTTTGTTACGTCGCGCTGCTTCCTTATTAGCCACAGGTTATGAATAAGTTGATTTTTGAGATGAGGCCACGCAAGAAACCGAGGGGCGAGTTTCGAGACTCGGGAGCAATATAGAAGAAGACATCACTTATAATACGATAATTTCTCACTGGTTTAACTGTAACAATCTAAAGCATGTTTATAACTGAAGTCATATAGAATCTTAAAATTTTGAGGAAGATAAAACTACAATCCATGGCCAGGTAGGACTTTGAATTTCACTTACGATTAGTTTATTGGGAAAAATATTAGCTTGACTGGTACAGAGTGTAAATTGATATAAAATTCTGAATATTTCCTTCCAACCGAACATACGTCATACAACCAAACGTTTCCATAAATTAGATAAAGAGTTAGAATGACAACACTTTTCAGTGCAGCAAGTAGAGAAACAAAATGAAGAACTAGAATATGAAATAACTAGGAAGCCTTTTTACGAGTCCATCTGAACTGTTCAGCTATGCAAATGATTCAGCCAATTACAAAATGTATGAAAAATATTAAAGAATTCAATTTCGTATTCAGTCTTTTCATTTTTCTACTATTACTTATGACCATTAGGAAGAAAAATAATCAGCATTACTTTATTGTTCCATAAATAGAGTAAACGGCTTTAATCAGAAGTCGAAACAAATAAGCCGGTATACATTTTACGCTTATGAAAATTTCCTCTTTTAATTAAACACTACACGCACGAGCCATTAAACGAACAATGTCATGCCATGATCGTGCCGCGGATATGAAAGTGGATCTGTTGACTTGAAAAGTTATTTTAGTTTCCCGGGTGATGGCTATTAGCTAACCTAATGGGTATTTGACAGGTTCGCAGCATAATAAATGGATCAGCTTCCAGTCTAGCTGCTTCCTTTTCAACTAGCCATTAACATTAAATAACAATGACGCCAAAGTGGAATGGTTTATCTCGCCTTCGCCAAGTATTTATCCTCGCCCTGTGCTCCTTTTGCGGTAAGAGTTTAATGAAACTTAATGTGCAGAATATAGCACAAATCAGCTAATACACAAAAAGACATACAAATCGTGTAAACACTAGAGCAATCGTGTTATATTTAAATAGTAAAAAAGACAATTTCATTGCAAACAAAGTTTAAATGCTACTTACACAAAGTTAATGGTTTTTTACAATTGAAATTTTAAAGTTTTAGAGCAAAGTTGATAGTACCTTTTAATTCAATCGCTAGAAGGAAGAGAGAGCTTATAACACAGTGTATACTCCGTCTCCGTAAACCGGGAACATCAGTTACCGAAGTCGTTTTATGAGTTGAATTGGTTTCAAGTGTTGTGAACACATGATCTAATATATTATGACTTACCATATTTTTTAAAGATGCGTTTCTCTTTGATCGAAAATTTTTGAACAGAAACCTCGGATTGAGGCCGAAAACAAATTTTCTTTCGTTATCGTGTCGTCATCTAAGTTATCTAACTGAAGCAAGAAAGAAAATTTGTGCACGCCGGGTAGATATAAAATGCTATTAAAAAGCAGGGATTGGAGATTTTTGAAGAAATATGTCCTAAACTAACATTGAATTTTAAGCGTAAAGTTCCGCCGGCGACCAGCTAAGCTGACTCAGTTTTCAGTTTACTCACACTTATTCAAAAAAAGTACATAAATACAATAATACGAGGAACTAAAAAGGAAGAAAATCAGAGCTGCTATACATGTTACAATAAATATTACATTGGAAAAGTGTGTAGTGGCCAAAGGAGCAAAGCTTTCGGGTTGACCACGACTCAGTTTCCTAGATCTCGCCAAGAAATTAATGTGTGCATTTGTGAAGGCGGGTTTTATATCCTGAGCTGTTATCAAGAGCTCTGTTTCCGTACGCGGGGAACTCGGTTGGCTTCTTTTAACCCGGATGAAAAGGCTGGCTCGGTTACCAAAGCAAAAAGTATTTAACCACCGCTGGAAGATGGCGAATTCGTCATTATCACGGTCTATTTTATATCTTACTGTTAAAAATATAATCATTTAATAATATTGACTACGTAATAATAATGGAACTCTCATAGCTGGCGTGCAGCAATAAAAACACGTGCACTCAATCATCACACATAAAATTTCATCCAGTCAACCGGTCAAAAACTTCTCTTATTATGGATGTCCTCAACGAGCGGGCGAAATGAAGCAAATCTTGTATTTTGATTGGCTACCTGAGGAAGTAATCCGCTCGGGATTTCCCATAATGTTCCCGTAAGAAAAACTTTCTTTCGTCCAGTCTAAGAATTCCTCGACCAAATTTGTTCGGTCAAGATGGCAAGAAATTGAACTTGTTCTTTTAATGCGTGTTACAGGACTTATCTTCCCGATTTTGAAGATATATGGAAAGTTAATAAAAGTTCGATAAATATCCGATCAATAGGCTTTTAAGGTTCTAGAGCATTCGAAGTGTTTACCTTTAAGAATGCAACATGATGAATAACCAATTTACTAATAAGCTTTGCATGCAGAAACATAAATATTAACAGTGTGCTTTTTGAGAGTGGGACATCTTGTCTCCAAATTTGACATTCCTCGGAAGATAATTATCTTTTAAATGAACATTTCGACCTTTTTAGTAATTAACTATATAAGGAAGCATAAGTTTTGTGGCTCGTTTTTGTTGGCAGATACATCCTACGCATTTTATGTAAACCTATTATCAATGACCATCAAACAAATAAATAGAGAGCTGCTAAGGAACTGAAGGAAGAAAGGGTAAGCAGTTATAGATAGATAGAGAAAGAGAAGAACATCAGGAACAATGTAGAACCACCTTGCGAGTGAGTAAAATAAACCTTGTAAGTTTAACTGGCTGATTTTGGTGTAGTTCCTCTCCTTCTCGCCGACCCCATCAGTAATCGACACTAAAAGGCATCGCTTACCAGTGGAGAAGCCTTCTTTATCAGTAGCACAAAAATAACCTTTATTAGAGGTGGGCTGAGTTACGTTCAGCAGAGTGCTGAAAAAGCCAGTTTCTCAGTTTATCATGCGATTCATGGACTGAGAGTGAGTTGAGTAGCCCTTCATCTCTGCGTGCATCCCCAGAGGCACAGAAGAAGAAAACAAATTTAAAAAAGAGACGGCAAAGACGATGTTTTTCCGCTGCAGATTTGGACTATTTTTCACATCACCATCATTGACAGTGTCTCAAAAGAGGGAAAAATCCATAAAGGCCATCATATATGGGTACGATTAATACACTGACCTAGTTAACAGCTCATGCAGCATTTTAACAACCCTCTGGCTCTATTATAAATTCTTCTTTTTCACTGATTACAGACACACATAGCGTCATCTATGAAGCAGTTCAGGATATTAAAATGAACTGGACCGCCGCATCGTTGGACTGTTCATTAGCCAAGATAAGCAATACTGATGAACTTTGCGACGCCCAAACTGCAATTCGAAATGACCGTGCCAACTTCTGGACGGCTCTTAAAGAGGAAAATGGAAGCTACTTCTGGGGCAATATCAACGGAACCATTCAGCCGGTTTACCATTTGAACTCAGATGCGCTTCTTGATAAAACGGAGCAAGGGAACTGCTATGTAATAAGTAAAGCAGATACAATCAAACTGAAGTCAAAGGATTGTAGCACTGAATTAAACGGAATTCTTTGTTCTTACTCTTACTCTGACGACCCGAAAGGTTTGTCATGGTAGCCTCTTCTAATAACTGCATGAATAAACTAAGAAACGACGGTAGGACAGCATTTTTATGTACCCAAATCTTTCCCTAGTTGAACAGGAAGCATATTGCTGAAACAATTTTCTTCCTGAAATCTGAAAACAAGGAAATATAGCCTAAGAAAACAGCTGACATTTCGAGACGCCACCAGAGATTTCCCAACGGAAACCAGTAATGACGTCGAGAAGTGTCAGCTGTTTTCAGTCTCAGGCCATTAAAGGAAAGAGTGCTTTTAAATCAAGTTAAAAACACATTGATGACCTCGACAAACGTTCCGTGGTTTAATCACACTGGTAGTGAAAAAAAAAGTTTCCTACTTTAATGCATACATATACAATCCTTTTCACGTTTGGCATTTTTTCGAAAGCAAGTAGGACAAGGTTAAGTTATTAATAAAACACAAATAAAATGAATAAAACAAGTATAATTGAAATAAAATCTGTTTGCAGGCTATCCCACTCCGAGTCCCGAAACGTACAGTGATGAATGTATTAAATACAAGGTATGTTTCTATCCTAAGTTCACATAATAATTTTGGATGAAAAGAGGTTTTATCTCCATGGAAAATGTGATACAAAGCTAAATTTTTTTTGATATAATTTTTAAATTGCAGCTTTCTAGCTGCTTGAAGGAGAGTATAAATTATTCGCAATGGAATGTAAGTACGTTATTCATTTTTGTGCTTTTCCTACAACAGCAAAACGGCCATTTCCAATAAAAATGAGAGTTACTCAATGATTTTGTTGACAGAACTTGAAATGCAGGTGGTCAGGTGGTGACAACTGCGAGTGGAAATCGCGAGTGGAAACTGAGAGCATAGACTGCTGTGAGGAGTATTGCAAATATGACCAAACATACGCAGTGGATTCAGGGAAACCAGACATAAGTGAGTTTCTTTCTGACTCATACTTTATGATAATTGAATGAAGAGGTATATTAATGAACCTAATCAACCTGACGTTTGTTTCTTCAGACATTATTGATTGATTAATTGATCGATTTTTGTCGCCTTTTCCCTTATGAAAGTCCTTATCGTTTCAATGCTGTTTCATTTAAATCGCTATTTTCGAAAGAAGTGGCAAATATCAGAGCTGTATAAGCTGGCTTTACAAGCAAATTGTCAAAACCCTCTTTCTTCACGAGCAATTAAAATCTTTTTTCCTTTACCTTATCAACAGGTGTTAAAGTAAGAAAGGTTCAAAAGGAATGGCCACAAAAAGTAGAAATTGGATTTAATACAAGCGAGAAAATTACAATAACACACAGGCTGTTTAATGATACAGGTTGGTAATAAGTTTGTATACCTTTATATATATAGTCATAGAATACTTGACACTGATTTGATTCAGTAGAAATCGAAAATAAGATGATAGTTCTGAATCAAGTATCGTTGTTACTTAAGCTAGAGTTTTAAAGTATGCAGAAAATATGAGAAAGCGGAATCATATATTAACTACTCAGCCTGGGACCAGCTGAGCGCTCGGTTCGCTTCGCTCGCCGCCAAATGTTTTTGTACTGTTTCAATACTTTTTTTGCCATTTTTTCCCACATCGGAGCCTAGTCCCAGGAAAATAACTACTTAGATGTTACATGTAAATGGTTTATAACATATTTTTGTTTGAATTGATTATTATATCATTAGAGACAATTGTCGCGGTTTCACTGCTTCCATTGAAAGATCAAGACTCAGTTTTGAGGCTAAATAGCGGGTAAGGGCCACCATCAATACTGAAATGAAGTTAACTTTTAACGATTTATTCCGCAGTCCTATTTAATACAAGTCATTTTTGGTGCTATTCATACCATCATTCCCAATCCCCCTCCCTTTTTCCCTATCCCCTACCCCTTTTGATGCCTGCTACGCAGGCCACATCATGACAGGAAGTGAAGTCCAGTTGCGTCTTGGAAGGATAGAGACGGCTGCTGAGAAATATCCGGGAAAATGACCTTATCCTTTGTTCTAATATATGGTTGTGTAACAACCTAAATCCCGTTCGTTAACATTTGTTGAGTGGACTTATTCTCCATTTATCCAGCGGTGACACTTTGGTTACCTCCGTTATTGGAGTGGTACTTAGTCCCCGCTTCAACAAGACGATTCCAAATTTGGTTATCCTCGAGTTTACCCATCCCAAGGTAAGCGGATAAGAGATCATGTGATCTCGTAAGTGAGAAAATGTCTAAAAAGTACTTAACTTTGGTAACAAAGAGGGGGGAGGATCAAATAGTCACGTCCCCGTTGTCACAAATTGCACATGGACGCTATTTCAAAGTCGTTCGAACAACTACTTGCATATTGAGACTATTCAGTTGCTCGTTCAAGGGGAAGGGGGGATACTCAAAGAGGTTTTAAACTGGGAGGCTCCGCCCGGAGGTCCAACCCCCTACGCTTTTATATACCATTTTTGACAGAAAAGGTACCTGTCAGTTCCTATACCTTCTCTAACTGCCAAATGGTTTAATCCCTTTCATATATACCTAGTTTAGAACGCTGCACCCCTTAAAAATATGAATATTAATGAGTCAGTTAGTTTCATTTTTCTTTTCCATCGCGCTCGACAGTCTTTAAAGAGAAAATAGATGGTCTGTCAACAGGCTATAGAACAATGAACCAGGAAGTTTTTCTTGCCTATCTTCACAGCCATAAAACGCCCTTGTTAGACATTTTAGGTCCCCGGCTCTACAGACTAAAATGAGAAATTTCATTACGATCGATATGAAAGAAACTTAACGTTTCGATGGATCCATGTCATCTTTATCCAAATATACTTTAACTCATGAAATCTCTTTTTGATATACCTAAGGCCAAACACATGTACCCCTTTCGGTCGGAGCCTGCTTGTATGGGCGTTGTAGGGAGTATATTTTTTGTTAAACATTCCCTAACTTACTCCCGGGGGATCTGAAGCCTATATACAAACTGTACCATTCTCTTTTCTATGAAATGACTCTTTTGAATTATCCTTAACATCAATTTTCTTAAACTTGCATTCTTTTTGTTGAGGTCCTTCAAGAAAAAGTCATAAGAAAATGTGTCTTTTGGAAAGAGGACATCTGGTAGGTGAATTAGCTGCTGTTGCTTAGTTTTTCCTTGCGTCGTTTAAGTCGATAATTTTTTCCATGTCCCTTCTAATTATATCAGTTAAACCTGTCTGTCTCCTTGCAAATTATCATTTCTTTTTACAAGAAAATATTCAACTTCAGCATGTACACAATGTAAATTAAAATCAAATAGAAAGACTAACGGAAGGGATTTTATAAGGATAGACTAACAATATATTTCACAGGCTCCCAGAGCTCCTCTTGATTATAGTCAGTTCTTGAAACTGATCATCTGATAGCTCCTCTATTGCTTTCCCTTAAAAGGACACCTAATGGTTCGTGGTCAACTGAAGGCTGTACCTTATTGAACGAGTCATCGACAGAGAGAACAGTTTGTAGCTGTAATCATCTGACAAACTTTGCTGTTTTGATGCAGTATAAACCTGTCCAGGTGAATATTTTGTGACGGAATCATTTCTCGCTAGATCCTCAGTGTTTCGAGAGTTTCTCATTATTTTTCAGAAACTTGCTCTCGCTAACTTGCTAGCCGTCAAAATATTCATAGTGATAATCATAATAATAATAATGACTTTATATAAAAAAAAAACCTTTGGAAAATCTGTACCCAAACTTTGTTGCGCATGATTAAAACGCAGCTAACATAACGACTGATTAACATTGAAACGAAGGAGATTTGGTGCTTTGCCCTTAGCCCCATCAGTAACTATTGATAAAATCAGAAACTGACACCAAATAAAGAGGCTATAATAAGAGGAGAATGTTTGCAAATACTTAGACCTAAATAAAGGAGACTACATAGAACATGGAAGGAAGGAAGGTTGCGCATAAGGTAATAGAGAAACGAAGGACTAGGAATGAAAGTATATTATGGGTTTGCCTTTATCAGTGATAACACCCGCGTATGTTGTGTTTAATTAGAATCCCAAAGAGCACGAGACATCCCTGTCAATCATAACATACATAGGATGTGCTTTGTCTCTCATTGGAGAGGTTATGGTCGTCATTATATATGTTGTGTTCATGTAAGTATTATTCCCTTTTTCATGGCGTGAAATCAGAGAGAAAATTAAATGTAATAGACTTAAATCAACGTCATCCGATTAGCTTACGTATCGTGGGCTTCCTCAAATCTTTCTCCGTTTTCTGACTATATCCTTTAAAACATTTTCGTGTATAATAGGACAGAAAATGTTTCTTAATAAAGTAAAATAAACGAACATTTAATAAAATACTGAACACACTGTGGACACTATACATTCTCGGATGGCGATCCGTATTACACTTAATCCTGGAGATGAGATGACTTTGAGATTGTATCATTCTCGTACATAGTCGTTTTTGATTAACATTTTATGCAGGATATGTAATAATAATAATTTATAATAATTTATGAACTTATTGTGCGCAGCTTAACATGAGAATGATCAGCTGCGCATTACAACTGCATTACGTTACAAGAAACAAATAAAAGATAATGTATTTAAAAATAAAAAATGAAAAGGATCTATACGCATACAAGTAAGAACTGAATATAAAATTGGTCACCAATATGAAGTTCTAAAAAGATAAGACTTAACATGCGCCTTAAAACTGTTCATATTAGTAATCGCACGAAGTATATGTATCTTTTGTGGTCCTCTGCTTATAGCCAAACATTACTGCTGACTTTATTTCAATGATGCGAAGGAATCGCCATTATTTTCGGCTTTATTTGTAGGAAGTTTAGAGCTGAGGGGATTCAGATTCGGATTAATCTTGCTGCAGCACTATTCCTTGCACAAGTAGTGTTTCTTTCTGGGATAAATGCTACAATTAATCGGGTTAGTGTACATTTATATCATCGTGCACATTTAGTTTTGCAATCAAAGCAGTTTTGAGCTCATATTATCTACACTTTGCAATTGTTAGTCAATTGGTTTGACAAATACCGACATCTCATCAAAAGAAGACAGAAGCTAAAGCAGCTATTTTGCTTTCAACATGACTTCCACGCGAACCAGTGCCTTAAAATTATGCACTGGTGATATGCTTTTTTATCTTTTCTAGCTTGCGTGTGTGTCAGTTGCGGTTTTGCTTCACTACTTTTACCTAGCATCGTTCGGCTGGATGCTCTTAGAGGGAGTATATCTCTACATCATGGTGGTTGAGGTCTTTGCTAGCACAGTTAAATTGCTGTACCTATATTTATTTGCATGGGGTAAGTTCGGCAGTTCTGTGCTCCTTGTTTAGCTTTGTGTTTAATTGTTCCAAATTTCTAACACAAGAGTATCTTTGCGTGATTCATGACAAACAGGCAACCATATTTCGATCATATGATGTAATTTATAGGAAAAATATTGTTTTATGCTATCCACTATATTTTTTGACGTAGTCCCCCAAAATGCAGAGTCAAAGGTTGTGCCGGAGTATGAAGTCGGACACGGAGGTTTTTTACAAATGTTTAAGGGACGACGTCTAAACATTTACCATTGTGCTTATTTTCGTAATACAAGACATGCTGTTAGTTTTCTCGAATGATTAGCAAATCTCTATTTTTTTGACAATTTTTATTCGATTGTTTGACAGGTTTCCCAGTCATACCAGTTGTTATATCTCTCGTGGTTGGTTTTAAAGATGGTGAAGGATTGAGATACTACACAAACGAACATTTGTAAGACACTTGAAAAGAATGTAATTCATTTTCACTTTTTGCATCGTTTCCTGGTTAGGTTTGAATTTCCGGCAGTACTTTTGCAAATTGTCACATATTACATGTGACTATGTGAAGGTATTTGCAACAATAGACGAATCTTTACTTCCTCTTTCAGTTGAGAAAAATTACTACAAGCTTTCGTGTTGAGTTTTAAAAAGGTTACTGGCGCGAAAAGCTAATATTTACGGCTTAATTGTAGTCGTGAAAATTAGGTTTTTTGCATAAAATTGGTTGATTTGTTTTAACCGCAGGATGCAAAAGATTGCCTAGTGCTTTGAACTATTTAGCCATGACTTTTTTGTTTTGTTTTTGTTTGTGAAGGCGTATGTCGGCCGAGTGGGTAACTCCTCGAACTCCAAGCCCCGCCCTTCGCATTGTTTTTCCTTAGACAAGGGACTTTACCACACTTTAGCTCTCTTTACCCAGGTGTATAAATGGGCACTGTCGACATACTGCTGGGGGGTAACCCTGCGATGGACTGGCATCCCGTCCATGGGGAACGGTGGCAATACTCCGCGGCATGCTTCATGCTAGGGAAACCAGGATAAGCTCCGGCCTTTTGGGCCTTTGACTCCTGTGCGCCTTTACCTGAAGCTTAGTTTTTCTGCAGCTGTTGGCTGTCATTCTCCAAGCATTTGAGCTGGTTTTTTGTTGGTCCTGTGCTCCTTATAATGGCTGTAAGTATACTACATGTATGTTATACCGGTATCTTAAATTTCATGTCTACGAGCTATCGATGCTTCTATCAAACAAATGCACCGGCTTCTTAAAGGCGTGACCCTCACTTTCAGAATGTTTTCACTAGCTCCATCACTGAATAAGGGCCCTTTATCCCAAACTATGCAGAATTTTAAACTTCAGCGATACAATTCAGTTCCGCACCTGATATTTATATGATTGACTACAATAGTATCTTTTTCGTACACTGTCTTACGCCTACGGAAAGTACTCGTTTGTCGTAATGACTCATAAACGCTGCTGATGCGAAACACCGTATGATCGTTTTCAGGTCAACTTTGTGATACTCCTGGCAGTTTTACGCGAGATAAGAAACTTGCAAGAGCCCAATCCAACTAGATTGAAGGCTTTTAAGTAAGTTAAGTAAATTATAAGTAATAAAGTTATAAGCAGGATATTGAAGTTACCTTCCTTTTCTTTGCCATGATGCCTAGAGCTTCGCCTACGACATTCCTAAGAGCCTGGGAGGTGCCTTCCAACAGCACTCCACTGGGTATTAAGTCACTTAATGACAGTTCACTTTAAAATCAAAGGGGGAACTGCTGTCATTAATAAAATGAAATCGTGACATTTGTCTAATTTTTCTCTGTTTTGTTGTGTGACTAGGAAAAGCCTTAAGGCTTGTGTCATTCTTTCGCCTCTGCTTGGAGTAACGTGGATATTTGGTTTGTTGGCAGTCACTGACGCTGGATTGGTTTTCCAATATATCTTTACTATTCTCAACTCTGCTCAGGTTTGTGTACTGTCACTCTGGCCCACACGTCGCCAAAATAGCTAAATAATAATCTTTGTTTTACTATTCTGTGAGTGTTTAAGCTAGTCCTTTCATTTGTCACTCTCTCAGAAAGTCATCTTTTTTAACAGGGTATGGTTATATTTCTCTTGCATGTCCTGAGGAACAGCGAAGTTCGAGCCTCGTTTCACCACAAGATATTGAAATGGAGGTTCCATAGACATCCAGTCCGAGTCCACCAAAGCTCTTCCCAAAATACCAGCAGACGAGAAGATGATCCTGAGGCTGTTACCAAAAACAGACTCGATACCCAGTCAGGAGAACATTTCACTCTTCACCCTAGAAATTCTGTCTCCTGAGGTTTATACAATAAATAAGGGAGCGGTTACACAGCCGGACTGAGAGAGCGTTGAAAAGATAAATTTCCAGTATTATCGTCAATTATAACTATTATGTAAATTTATGAAGTTATTAATTAATATTAATTAATAGTTAATGCTCCTCAATTAAATGAATTGAACGCTCTACGAAATATATTCTACCTAGAATACAAGTATTTATTTGTAAATTTAAGTAGAAAATAAACACAAGTTCAGACATTGTAACAAATATAATAAAATAATTTCGAAAAAACGCCGCTTATGAAAACAGCAGCTACCAGCTCCTTGTCAACGTTATAAAGATCGATACGCACCACCTGCACACATTGAGCTGGTGTCTTCCCGACCAATAACACCAAGACATTTCGTGTCTTAATTGACCAAATTAGGTCAATAACTACCGGACGATACAATTGACTTTGACTCTTGAGATGACTATCGCACAGGTTGTCGAAACGTCAGTGACTGTCAACAACTGTCCTATTCAAGACTACACTTACCCGGACGATCATATTCCATCTACTTATGATAACACATATCTGTTAAAATTCTGCTTTCACGCAACTGAGGAAATATATATATTTAGTATATACTAAAACAGTGGATAGCGTTTTTCGTGCCCTCTGATTGGCTACTCAATCAGTAAATATCCTGCACTATTCACTGATTCACCTCCAGTTCCTCCGAGCGAGCGACGCCAAACTCGCGTAGGTTGCGAGCAAAATGCTTTCCCGGTTTGCTGCCGTAACAAACAAAGAAATTTCGCAACTAATCAAGCAAGCTATTTCCGAAACACATGAAGAAGGTGATGAAGTTCGGTTTGGAAGTTTTAGCAGATAAAGCTTTGTCTTTTTGACTTGAATAGTTATCGATAATACCGGTGAAAAAGTTTTTTGTTTACAAATGCAAATTAAGCTTAAGTCTTGCGTTACTTTATTTAGTTGACTTGTTCATAAATAAGCTTAAAACTTAATTTAATAATCTTTTTTACAGAATTATTTTAAATACAAACAGAATTCACAACTCCTTTTGAAGAAACTTCCCCGCAAGAGCTAAACAAACGCCTTCAAAAGTTTTATTTGTCGCTAAGAAAACGCGACGACCGCGGCCGTTCGGTCATCGCGCGCCAAACTTGTAATCGTTGGCATGACTTGAAAAACGCCTAGTCATAACCTCGCACTACGCTTAGCTGTATTAGCTGTATTTCAGTACACTCTCCTTATCAAATAAGAAACAAAATACCTTCATTTTTGAAGTTTATATTCAGTAAACGAATTTCTTGGTACACAGTTTCCAAGGCCTGCTGTAGTACTGTCTCCATGTTTCTTTATCGCCGGTCCATAGTGGCACGCGTACACTGTTTCAAAGAGAAACTTTCTTTTTAAGCAAAACAAAAATTAACTGGGAAAGTTTCTTCTCGGTTAGGTTAATCCTAAAAGAATAATTAATAAGTAAAATAAATTAAGTAAACTAGACGATATCTCAATAACATCGAAAGACACCTGAATGTTGTTAGACCTTGTTAACATTGATGAACGAGTCTATCTTACCTCTTTGCGCCACCATGCACCGTGTCAATGGTCTCCACTTGCTCAATTTTCTTCATCTTTCTAGTTTTCTTTTCCCTTTATTCTGAGAGCTCACATCCATCCTTATTTTTTTAAAATTGCCATGGTTTGTACACTTTAAAGAAATAAACAGCTTAGGTAGAAGGTCAAAACCGTGTTACTGAGGAAAGTGTGAAAATGGCGGGAATTTTTGGTTGTCGCCTGCGACAGTTCAGCTCGTATTTGATTGGTTATCCGCGATCATCTCTTTCTAAATGAGTCAAATAGTTTTGGATATAAAAAGAGGGTAGAGTGGTAGACGATAAAACTGAACCAACTGGTCAAGAAAAATTAATTTCCACGACAGAAAACCTACCCTATAAAACCTATAAAGTGGTGCACAAGGAAAATGCATTATCAGAGGACTATGCGCTTTTATGACCCCACAACACGAGAACGGTCGAGAACGGTCGAGAACGGTCCTATTTTGTCAATTTTAATATTTCGTTTTCTGCAGTGTTACACAAGTGTTCTCTAAACATGTTAAACATGAGCGCATTTTCTTAGCTTTGGAGGTGGGGTCGATAGTTCGGCAGCCAGGGAAAAGTGCCCTGAGGACGAGGTTGTCGCGGCTCATGCAGGTTAATGCCCAGGGGCCCAGGGAAGACAGGGAATAATATGTACGTAAAACGTCCTAATGCAAAGGTTTTCTTCTAGTTCAATGTTTAAAGAACTTATTTTCAGTAAATTTAATGTGAATCAAAGGAAAAAAGTTGATCACTAGTTTATCATTCTGGAATCCCACATCGTTGATCCTCAATTCCGCGATTTAATTTGTCATGCAGCTAGGGATGCGATGCGCATGTCGTAACGTGGAAGTCCGAGTGGACCTCGGACCACGATCTTTCGCTGTTGATCACTCAGTTCACCCACTTAGTTTACTGTAAGAATTTTACTCGTCATTGCGGAGAAAAATGGCCCCACCAGGAGATTCCAAAACGTTTTTCAAAGCAGAGGGCGGAAGAGGACAAACTAATCCCAAAGATCTTGAAGAATTAGTACGGAAAGCGAACAAAACCAGTGGAGACAGAACTGGCGTGAATGGGATTCTACTTGGTCCACCCGGCGCTGGGAAAGGAACTCAGGTTAATTACCTTAATATGTCCATGCTGGGCTTGTTAAAGTCCTTTTCTTGCTGATCCTGGTCTATGTTAAGAAAGTCTGTGTATGAGTCAGGTTTGAGTGACCACAGTTATGGGATATGGGCCCTTCCATTATTATTAACTATCCGCACCCCCCCCCCCCCCCCCTCGCCCAAATATGATTTTTCTCTCTTTCTTTATAAAACACGGGGCCGCCCCCCTCCCCTTTTTTCACAAAAAAAAAAAAAAAAAATAATTACAAAAAAAAACGTGTGTAGATTTGTGACCCACCATATATTTTTGTGCGCGGGGTTTGTTTGAGTTTTTTTTTTGTGCTGTCGTGTGTGATTTTAAAGATTGTGTGTGTGTTTCTGTTTTGTTTGTCCCCACTTATGGGGTATGGGCCCCCTCCTTTTTTTTTAATATCCCCCCCCCCCCCCCCCCCCCCTCTGTGGTCAAATTATGAGTTCCATCTTCTTAATAAAAGATCGGAGTGCCAACCTGTTCCCTTTTTACGAAAAATAAAAACAAATGAAATTTCATCAAAAGATCATGGGTACTGATGTAGCTACCCCTCCAGAAATGGCTTTTGAGTAACACCCTCTCCCCAGGATTTCATTGTCCTTCAGTGTGGCTGCAATTAGGTGAAGGTGGAAGCACTGTCCAGTAGAGGGGTATTTTTCACAGAGGCATCTGGGAGGTAAAAGACATCCATAGCCTGAATTTCAGCCTTCCCCTGAATCAACAAGCTGTAATGCTGTCCACTGATGTCACTACTTGAAAACCAGGTAGTGATTATGTTAATTTGGCAGACTGATCAAACATTCTCATAATTATGTATAATTTAGATTTTAGCAAGACTATCATTTGATATTCTGGGTATCGCATGCTTGCGTGGAGTAAAAAATATTGACAGTCTTTATCGTAAACAGCAAAGTAATCCTTGTCATCAAAACTAATGACTTGTTTACTCAATGCAGAAACTCAGTAGGTTTCATTAAGAGCCACTTGGTGGTTTCAGCAGCAATTTCATTTATGCAAAGCATCAGTGACCAATGTTTTTGCAATTTTACATCAAGCTTGTGCAGCAAATTTTAGAACTTTCTACCATTTCCACTGTTAAATGTAATGATTCTGTTACTTTTTCTTTCTTGTTTGCTTGCTTCTGTTCTTCTTTGTTGAGGACCAAACTAACCCTAACCCTAACCCTAACTTCAAGAAAGTTAAAGGAAGCATCCCATGTGTATTTCAATCTTGCGTGGCAAAGATGGAGTTTGATTATTGCAAAAGAGTAGTGTATAATACTGCCTGTTAACAGTTTGAACATTAACGTGAGTATTACAATGATTTGAGAGTAAAACAATTCTGTGCCATGTAGACCTTTCTGGACAATATTTCTTTATTTGCCATTTGAAAATTGAGTTTTACTTCTGACATAAATTAAAGCAAAGGAGCAGTGATGTCACTGGATAGTATTAGCAGCTCGTCGATCCAGACGTCCCTTTCAGGAGCAAGGGATTTGAGGGGATGGCTGAAATTCAAGCTAGGACACCCACTGTTGAATCACAGATTAAATTAGTGGATTGATATGTGGAACCCTGGACCAAATAAGCCTTTTGGAAAATTTTTGGCTCGTAGAATTATTCCTACATTTACAAATTAACAAGGTATAAAACATTTTTCATTCATACTCGGAAGCTTTTGGTTACTGAATTTAAGGTTCTTAAAAAGCTGTGCATCTGCATGGGTTTGGTCTTGCTAAACCAAAGGTGTTGTGTTAACATAGTGTAATAATTATTAATATTATTATTATTATGATTATTAGGCACCAAAACTAGCAGAGAAATACTGTGTTTGTCATTTAGCTACTGGTAAGTACAGAACTACATATTATACTGTCTTAGATATGGTTTCTGCATCTTCCTTCTCACAAATGACTAGTGCTATCAGTTAACCCTCTAACCGGCAATCGTACATATAACCATATGCACGAAAGGGTAAACTCTCTCAAGTGCTGTGATTTGGCTCCTGGACTGTTTCAGTGCTTTTTACAGAAAATAGTTTTTGTGACTTTATTTTTTAGAGGACTTTAGCGACAACGGAAAAAATCAGAAGATTTGATGCAAGCTGTAAAATCCTAGTTTTTGTCATCTGTGGCGCTTTAAGGAATTGTATTCATGGGTGTGATTCATTTCAACTAACCTGCAACGTAGATCAAAACTTGCAATTCTGAACATAAATCTTCAAACAAAGGAAAAAAGCTCTAATGATTCGTAGTGGCGATTGACTCAAGGGTATGAAGGAACTTTACAAGTCGAGTGCCCTCCAAGGGTTAATAGTCTAGTTGCATTTATTTAATAGTCCTCTTCTATCTAGCCACTGCCATAATAACATGGCCATCATTTCTCTGTGAAATTTTCTATTTGGCTTTATTTTTTTCCAGTTTCTTACTGAATTAAGTCTTAAATGTTGTAAGGTGTTTAGATTGTAACATACCCTTCATGCTAAACTTGAGGTATTCAATATCCATCTTTGAGGCTTGCCCACAAGACAATATTTTTAGTTACAAAGTCAGCAGAAGGCAACTTGTCATATTGCCCACAATAATTCCAGTTTAAATATTACATACTGTGTTTCCTCAAATAATACATGTTGGCCGGGGGGATAATTTAATATTTTTTTCACCCAAAAAGGTGGCAATTATTTGAGGAAGGCAATTATTTCAAATATTGCTCACTGTCATTAATTAAGAGCCAGGGGCTGGGGATTTCCCTCAGCTGCTATGAATGTGGCCCCCGGCTACTTTCATAGGAAAACAGAAGAAAAATAGAACCAAAAGAAATCCCTAGCTGTTTGATTCTCTGCCCACTTGTTGTATTTACCCGGCAAGTTGAAATCCATTAGAGAATTCTGTCTATTGATCTGCATTGTCAGTAAAATCGGAGGTGCCATGACTATTTGCGCCCCCACAAGAGATGCCGACACATGTCACGTCCTTTGACTCTAGACTGAAGTGTTAGGGTATTGTTTCCATGATACAAAGGTAATTTAAATTAAGCAAATCGACAATTCGAAGCTTTTGCGCTACTCCCCGTGTTATTAGGAAATGCAGTCACTCAACTTGAATTATTATTGTGACTTTATAAAATATTTTAACATTTTAAGGCAGTAGAATGTCTAGAGTGCCAGAAAAACAATCGGGAAGTCGAATGGTTTCAAATGGCGCTCAAAGTTGTTTTTATTAGTATGCAAATCAACTACACTTTCGGTTATTTTCCATCAAACTGAAATGTCCTAGCTTTTTTACAACTTTTTTACAACGATTTGCTTTGTTTCATTTTATATTATTTTTGTGAAAGCTCAATTCTTTTATGTGAATTTATGCTTTCAAAAAGAAAAAACCTTGAGGAATCTTTGTGTTTACAATAACAGCAATACCCACAGGCGGCCCAGACGTAGTATGTGTCACTGAATGAATATATTAATATCCACATGGACAAATTAATGCGATGAGTCGTCGAAACCATGGACTAAAATAGTCTAAAAGTCAAAATATAACAAAACAAGGCTAAGATACCTTCAACTGAACGTATCCTTGTCTTTCCTGGCCGGTTTAAGTGGCATTTTGTTGAGTTTTGAAATTGTAGGTACTATCCACTAAAGAAGAATTAAAGGCTGGCTACAAAACAAACAGACCATCTCTACGCGCCTTCACACGAAGCGCTATAAATTCGAGAATAATCGACGAATCCGCTCCAAATAACCATCGGATAATCTGCAGGTAACGTGTGCTCCTGCTTCTGGCTCGCTTGCTCCACAAAACCCATCGCAACTGCACAATAATTGCTCGCTCATCAACAACCACTGTTGACCTTTACGCTTCGATATGACCGCAAACGACCAGGTTTAATACGCGACGTGAATATTCAAACTTAGCGACCGCGTTCGCGCAACAATGCAGCACTTGCTATGGGAGGGATGGTACTATTGCTTCCAGGTCAATAAATCGGGAAAATAATATTGAAGCCCTTGTAATTTTTAAAAAGATCCAATTTGCCCAAGGAGCACCGAACAGATACGAATCTTATAGCGGGGCTAAAAAAAAATGAGCGGCAGTGGAAAAAGTAAACAAGAACATGTATCACATTTTCTCCATAAAAAGTGAAAACCAGGAAGTTTCCTGGACGTTTCACGTTGCAGTCAGGCAAATCAACGGCAAGGAAATGTACAAGAAAGTGTGCTGCAATTAGACCTATTGTTGTTTTTCACAGTTCTGGTCAAGGGCATCCAACTTTTAATTTTTCACATTTCACTCACCGGGTTAGGCTATTTTTCGTAGACAGTAAAATGGAATCCTAAAATTTTCGAATTCAAAAATGTGATGAAAGAAGGCATCTGAAAAATTATCTCCTTCGTAATACGTTAAATTGCATCTAAAATTTTCGGGAAAATAATTCGGAATTCCTCGTAATTTCGAAAAGACTCAAGTTCCTCTAGAATGGCCGAACACTGAGATGCAAATTTTATAGCGCCACTTAGAATGCATTTCTATAGAGCTAAAAGTACTTTATGAATAGCTACAGAAGTGTTTTCAATTGAAGTATTTGAGGAAACAGTCGTTGGGAGGCCCTATCTCGTTACCTTCTCCGCTTAGCATTCCACGATATATTTTATATTTAGTATGAGCAAACTATAAATCATTAGCTTCGCTTTTAGCCCTCCTAACTAAATTTATGTAAGCGCTGTTTAGAATGCATTTTTCGATCAAAAGTACTCTGGACAGCCTTAAATGTGTTTTCAATGCATTTAGGGGGAAATCATCGTTGGGTCCCCCTGAGTTTTGAGAATAATAATAATAATAAAAAAAGAGATCGCGCACATAAATTTTACTTTACGATATCTTCAGCTGTATCTTCTATTCAGCTGCATAGCGGGGGCCAGATTTTGCCTTTTTCCTGGGCGGAAAATTCTCGTCCTCCTACACCAGTTTGGACAACATATTATGGAGTAAGACGTTGTTAATCTAAGCAAATAAGTCTGGTAGAGTCAAGAACCTATGCAAGCGGCTGGACGAACAATGTGACAGCAGTTGAGACAGCGAACGTTAGAAGAATTCGAACTTGAAAACCAGGGCTGCCCTGTTGAAAACTTACGGACGGTCCCGCGATCGCCTTTTGTTTTCTGGTCAAAACTAACGCAGCGAACCTTCGGTCAGTCGATTGACCTAGAAGCAATAGTACCATCCCTCCCATAGCAAGTGCTGCATTGTTGCGCGAACGCGGTCGCTAAGTTTGAATATTCACGTCGCGTATTAAACCTGGTCGTTTGCGGTCATATCGAAGCGTAAAGGTCAACAGTGGTTGTTGATGAGCGAGCAATTATTGTGCAGTTGCGATGGGTTTTGTGGAGCAAGCGAGCCAGAAGCAGGAGCACACGTCACCTGCAGATTATCCGATGGTTATTTGGAGCGGATTCGTCGATTATTCTCGAATTTATAGCGCTTCGTGTGAAGGCGCGTGGAGATGGTCTGTTTGTTTTGTAGCCAGCCTTTAATTCTTCTTTAGTGGATAGTACCTACAATTTCAAAACTCAACAAAATGCCACTTAAACCGGCCAGGAAAGACAAGGATACGTTCAGTTGAAGGTATCTTAGCCTTGTTTTGTTATATTTGACTTTTAGACTATTTTAGTCCATGGGAGTTTCGACGACTCATCGCATTAATTTGTCCATGTGGATATTAATATATTCATTCAGTGACACATACTACGTCTGGGCCGCCTGTGCAATACCTGTCTATTTCGTTTCACTTACACTCATATTGAATTCCCCTTTATTTGATGGATTTCACTTGAGACAATAACGTCACCTTTGATTTCTCAGATGCTTGCCTTTTTAGGCACCCTGTTTATTTTAACGGTCAAGATTTTTTAAGCGTCACTTCAGACTTTTCATGACAATGATTTAATGTGGTAAAGTTACGAGAAATGCTGTCACCGAAGAGGGTCACGCGACACTACTTTGGGACCGCATGACCTCTAATGATCTTTCTGGTATCTTTTGTTCCTCGGTTGTCTCCAAAACAATCAAGATGTTTCACCAATTTCCACCTACAAATAATAGGAGACATCACAGTGTGACGACTTCAACCAGGGCCACCTAAGAACTTTCAGCCAATCAGAAACCATTCCTTTAACAAAGAATTGGGTGTGCGGACCCCATCAGGAACTGTCCTATTTTTTGATTGGTTAGTTTCGATCCTAAATGTTTTTGCCATTTACAGTGGTGTGTCATACACACTTACCTGTCTGTCTTGTGTGGCTGCTTTTTTGTAAAATATGAATGCAGCATATATATTGAAGGGCTGGTTATACTTATTGCTCAGTAAGGGGTATAAAAGTGCCTTGTATCTATGGGGAAAAAGAGCTGTCTGGTTAGACTGGTTACAAGATGTTGTTTGAAAATTTTGTTTTGGTTTCTTTACTGCTGAATTGTATTCTCTTATTCCTACAACTAGAAGTCATCATTTTAGATCTGGGTCAAGAAAACTTTCGTTAACAAACACTTGTGGTCAACAAGAAAAAAATCAACAGCCAGGCTAGTGCTAGGCTCTATTTTTATCAAGAAGACAGCGTCGGAGTAGTCTCAATTTCCCTCTTCAGCCAAGCGACAATTCAAACCTTATGAACCTATCACGTAATTGAGTATTAAGTTTACTCCTAAACTTCTTGCTTGCTTCGTTTTTGCTTCTTCTTGCTTGCTTCGTTTTTTTCTTTCATCTCTGAAGAAATGTTCTAGCAACAAGAGAACCAAAAAATGAGCAGGTGTTCGTTCACAGGATGGGAAAGCATAGTCAGTGCGGTGTTGCCTGACATTTCATTAGCATTCTGTATTTCTTTAAACTTTCCTCCGGTTCCAAGTTCTTGAGTGATTGCACGTTGAGATTGTCTAATCCAATATTATAGAGATCTAGAACTCCACAGACAAATTGTGGGAAGTTTAGACCAACAGACTGTTTTATTCTTAGCTGCACAGAAATGATTTCGACTTTCACTTTCAAGAAGGCAACGCGAAAGAAAACAAGATTCTTTGGTCTCTGATTGGCTCACGCTAGAAGTAAGCCATTTGAAATGGCAAAAAATTTAGGATCAAAACCAACCAATCAAAATATAGGACCCGATGAGGTCCACACGCCCAGTTCTTTGTTAAAGGAGCGGTTTCTGATTGGCTGAAAGTTCTTAGGTGGCCCCAGTTGAAGTCGTCACACTGTAATTTGATTGACAGGACAATTTACATTTACTAGCGATATGTTTCAATAGGCAGGATTTTGTAATGCTTAGTGACAGCCCTGCTAAATATTTTGTTTCATTATCCTATTGAATCAAAAAATGATTGAATAAAAAAAAAATGAGCATGGGCATTTTAATATTATTGTTCAAGTTCAATATCCTCGGTGTTAGAGCTTGAACCATCACTGATCAGTTTTGCTGGATCAGTTCCACTTAACAGGGAGGGGGGGGGGGGGGGAAAAAAGAAAGGAAAAAGGGAAAAAGGGGGGGGAGTTTTTTAGGAAGGGGATTACTGGGGGGGGGGATTTTTTTGAGGAAAATAGGTTATTTTGGGAAAAAAAAGGTGTTTTTGAAATGATGTTTGAGAGCACATCAAAAAAAAAGAATTTTTATATACAAACATATAAAAATTTTGTTTATATACAATAAACAAAAAAAAAAATAATAAAAAAAAAAAAAGTAGAAGTTTGTTTTTTTTATTTTTTGTTTCATATTTAATCTCCGGGGGGTAGGACATAAAAACAGCAGTGTGGGGGTGGGGTGAAAAGTAAAAAGGGGGGGGGGGGGGGGGGGGGGGGGGATAAAAGAAAGAGAAGAAGGCAAACGAGGAGGGATTATTCTAGGAAGGTGATTACTGGAGGGATGGCTATTCTTTGAGGAAATATGGTATTATTGGCATAAAAATGTGCTTTTGACATCATGGTTAAGAGTCCATGCAAATAAACAGTTCCTGAAATCACTGTTGAGTATCAGTGGATTTGACAATGGATGGAGATGATCTGTAACTTAGTACAAAAGCCATTCAAATCAGTTACAATCCTTGTTTATTGCTGATGCATGAAAAAAATTGATGGCTTTGATCACTGGTATGTTCCTTTGTCAAAAGTAAAGTTGTAGACTCAATGGATCAATGACTGACTCTTTGTTTATGTATGTATGTTTGCATTTGATTATCAGGGGACATGTTGAGAGCTGTTGTTGCTTCTGGCTCTGCTTTGGGTAAAAAAGTTAAACAAGTTATGGATTCAGGCCAGGTAAATTAAATCAGAGTGCAAGTTAAAACTAAACATGGAATATAGATATGAAAAAATACTTGGTGTACACATATAAAGGGGGCAGTTGTTTGATATTTTTTCTTGCTGCTGCAATTATTATCAGAGCAACTCAATGTTTTCTACACTGTTTTTCTATAAAAGCTATGACATGAATTTTTTTCTTTTCTTCCTTTCTTGTGTAATATTCATACTGTTTAGGCAAAAGTAGGATGATTAAATTTAGCAAGCAGCACACTAATGTGCTTGCTTTCTTGCTGGTGCAATTTTTATCAGAGCAACTCAATGTTTTCTACACTGTTTTTCCATAAAAGTTATGACATGAATTTTTTTCTTTGTTCCTTTCTTGTGTAATATCTATACTGTTTAGGCAAAAGTAGGATAATTAAATTTAGCAAACAGCACAGTGCTTAACTTTGTCAGTCTTTTTTTGTTAACAATTTAGCTGGTGAGTGATGCACTTGTGGTTGAGCTTATTGATGACAACCTTAACAAACCTGAATGTGCCAATGGTTTTCTCTTGGATGGGTTTCCAAGGACTGTGGTTCAAGCAGAAAAGGTACAATTACAGAAAATCTGAGGGAGCAGCAGCAAGACTAGTGTCATTAGAGTCAGGGATGGATACAGAAAATTCACAACAAAGCACTGGGAAACTTGCCAGCTATTTAACTGCTATAATTTATTGGTTAAAGAACTCTGAGAGCACCTTTTTATGGCTCTAGACAAACGCGTTTATTGTGAATTTTTTAAACTTTTAACACAAAATATAATAATACAAAAGGTTGGGGGAGGGATCAGCCTTCTCAACTCCCCCTAAAGCCACCCATGCTCGGTGGAAACTAGCAGGGTCTCTAGTGTGGGGTCAGTTTGTGTAAGTGGTGAAGCTGAAAGACAGAAAGCTGCTTGCAGTTGACTTTTTACATGAAGCTGCTTTAAAAGCTTTGTGAGATTTGTTCTAACACAGGCTGCTCAATCACGTTCAAAACAGCAGCCATTATTTCAGGCTATAGTACAACACACCATCTGTCTGCATATCACTGACTGCCTTTTTCTCTTTTTCTTTGATGAGGAACTTCTTAAATGTCTGTATGGCCAGTAAACTGGTTCATGTTTGTTGTTTATGTTTGACAATCAAATTTTCCATTATGTCTTCCCATATTGTCAGCTTGATGAGCTTCTGGACAAAAGGAAATCAAGCTTGGATGCAGTTGTAGAGTTTGGAATTGATGATTCCCTTCTAGTACGCCGGATTACTGGCAGGTAAGTCACATGCTACAGTGTTATTATAGTCAACTTTATCTTAATGGACACTTCTGTATGACCGACACCTCCCTTATAATAGACACACAGAGTTGGTCCTTGTTGCTCCTAAGAGATGCCCTTCCTTGTGTATCAGTATATTTTTCAGTTGCGAAGTTTCAGCTTGTGAGCTGCAACCTTTCTCTTGCCATGATTTGGCAAATGACAAAATACTCACAAACTGCCAAAACTGTGTTCGGCCACCTTAAACATGTTTAAAAACTGTTTAGTTGAACATGGTTTGAATTTTCTTTCCTCCATAAAAGCTGCTAACTAACTTTTAAAAACTGATTGCAAGTCTAGTGCAAATTAGAAAACATGCTGAATTTCATTTGAATCCTGTGTGAAACCCTGTGTTCTAGTTTTCCATGACTGTTTTTCATTTTTTAAAACCTGTCTAAACATGTCATGTCATGTAAACATGTCATGTTTAGGTGGTGTGAATGAGGCATTAACATTAGTAATTATTACTGTGATAAATACTTAAAAGATACAGTTGTAATATTATTTTTAAAAAATATTAATTTTTTTTGGGGGGGGGAGGGAGTGGGGGGCAGGTTCATGGTGTGAGCAGAAGTGGTATCAGTGTATTTTTATGCATAGCTGGTCTTTATGCATGTTAGTTTACATGTTTATCAAGTTTTCACTGTTCATTTTTAAGGCTGCTTCACAAACCAAGTGGAAGAACTTATCACACAGAATTCAATCCACCTAAAAAGCCTATGACTGATAATGTAAGTGATTGGGTTATTTCTCATGTATGTTGACCTTAGCTTAGTATCTTCCGTGAAACTCTTACTCTGACAAGGGAGAAATTATTTTAATACCTTTGGGAATAGTAACGTTTTTAAACTACTTCTATACTGTTTTAATGTAAAAATGATTTTTTTAGTCATGGACACATCACATTTACGTTGTTGTCAAATCTTTAATTTCAAAGTGAATACTGTAAATATCTTCCAGTAGTAGCCTTATTTGAGATTTCCTCTGCAAGTATATATTATAATGAACAGCACCCAAAGTAACTGATTTTACAGCAAGGAGCCCAAAAGAGTGACCTCCTTTAATTAACTCACATTCTTTCATGTAGACACTAACCAATCAGAAGCTGAGCACAGTTTCCAGCTGGCTTCTGATTGGATGAAATCTGTTCGAAGGAATGTCAATAAATCAAAAGCAGTCACACTTTTGGGCTCCTTGCTGTAATTGGCACTTAGATGAGTCTGAAGTATAGCTTGTTCCAGACCTACAGTTAGTAGTGCGCGGTGTTCAGCAGATGGTGGGGAGCGAGTTAAATTGTACGCGGGAAAAACAAGGGGGGACTGGGGCGTTATTTACCATCTTCAATTTTTTGCCTGCTCTTTACTATCTGAACACCTAGAACAGGCTTAATCTGAAGTAACAGATTTCCCAGTCAGTGCCAGGTAACTAATAAATAACCTAACTTGCAGCTGTAAGTGGTTTTTCTGGTAAATTGTGTGTGTCTTTCGAGTGTTGTAGGGGAGGGGGAGTGGGGATAGAGAGGGTTAGAGCACTACTCTTATTTTTCTATTTTCATTATTGATTCCAGGTCACTGGTGAACCTCTAATTCGTCGGTCAGATGATAACGAGGCAACGCTGAAGAAACGTTTAGAAGCTTACCACAAGCAGACTGCACCGCTGGTTGACTATTACAAAAAGCGCGGGCTCCATTCACGCATTGATGCTGCTGAATCCCCGGATGTTGTTTTCAAGGATGTTTTAAGGGAGTTTGAGAAAGCCAAGGAACGCGCGAGGAAGTTCTTTCAATGAATGATTTTCTTGAATTAATTAGTATCAATTGAGTAGAACCAAGTAACACGTTCCTCGTTCCTTCCCTAGAATTAACATTCACCAATTGTTACAATATGCTTATTCCAATAATAAAAAAAAATTGTCTCCGTATTACCGACTGTCTCTGTGTTGCATATAGTTTGGATTTTTAGGTCTGGCGTTAGGGTCATATGATATGGCTAATCCTCTTGTCTTTATTCAGTGCGGCTTACTGCAGTGAAAACGAAGTATGTTTTGCTTTAAACGGCCGAGAAATATTAAACTAAACATTCGCGACATTTCGGTGTTCCCTGGCTTTCCTGTTCACAATGTCAATTTCCCAGTTTCCGTTTTTTTGTGGACGGAAAGACGTCGAATACAGTGGAAACTGAGAGAACTGCCAAGTGGCCTGAAAGGTTGTTAAAAAGTTTTTTTCAAAAGTTGACGTTGGGTCAACTGTGGAGTTACGCTGTTTTCGGGGAAGTCATATTCGTTTACAGATAACTCGGGGTTACGGTTTTTATACCGTAATCGACATTATATATTCAAATATAAGTGACTACTAAATAAACCTAAAATTTTACGGTGGGCGCTAGCTACGTCTGCCGGAAATTACTTGGGAACTCTGGCTAGAATATATAAATACCTGTACACACTATATGGTTTAACTTCTTTAACTAGGCCAATAAGAGTAATTTTTTTTTTTTTTTGAACGAATCAACATATCGTAATTTTTCAGCCCGTGAAGTTCAATACGTATTCTACAAGTTCATGGCAGAGAAGTGTCTCCTTTCTCTGATTCGCTTTAATATTTTGACCAAAGGCATTTTTTCCCATAATAATTGCATCTTTTCTTTGGGCGAGTTACCCATAGTTCCGGTTTTTGTAAAGGGACATTCACTAATTCACGAAGTATTTGCAACAGATTATTTAGCGGTTTCCTTAATAATTAATGTACAGGAGAGGTGGTAAAAAACCTGTGTTTTTACTCGGCTTATTGAGGTAGACTCAGTAGAAAGTGCTCACAAAACATTCCGCCCCTGTTGAGAAATAAGTATACTTACCAAGGTTGGTTCGACACTCCCTAATAATCTCTTTTATTTCTTGTGTCTGATGACATATCTATCGAAGTCTGACCCGCCACCGCACAGTAAACAAAAGAATTTACTTTGCATATAAATCAAGACAAAGAAAACTTTCGAAATAATTTGTAAAGTCCTTGGCGAGGCGGCTGCGAAAACCTCATCTCGCTCTTTCAATTTTTATTCAATTTCAAATATTTCATACAAAGCGCCATAAATAGGATACTTATCTTAATTATCTTACAAAATTTCTTTGGTTGACTTTTATGTACAGAACAGTAGACAGAAATTGTAATTGCGAATTTTTTTTCAGATTTCAAAATAAGAAAAAAAGCTACGACTGACGATTTCTACCTGGTTTGAACCTTAAGGTTAAACAAATAGCGCAACTTCCGGTTATCTCAAATTGAACGATGTGTTGATGTATTGACACTGAAATTTAACATTAACCACTCAATTTGAGAAGAGTTTGACTACATCAACCTTTACATTTTCTATTCTAATCAAACACTTCATTGAGGAAATACAATAGGGCTTTTATAAAGTATTGTGCAAGCACTAGAAAATAAAAGAACGTTCAGCATCATCTTGCTTATAGATATTCGTTTAAATCACGTCCAGACTGATGTAACTATTTCTCCCTTTACAATCCCAATGTGAAAGTGCCTTTTGCTTTCTTTTCGACAATGGTGTGGCCTTAAAGTCTCGCAGAACTATGCGATCTAAGTCTGTAGCACTATTGCTGAGGCTAACAGCCTTGTCGCTTGCTGTTGGTGTCGGTTTCAATATCGCGGCAGCTACAGCATCTAGTGACCTTGACCGCGATAGACCGCTCTCCTTCGTCATATAACATTCGCCAAGTTTAGCTCCGTCGTGTTGGTCGATAACGAAAGAAGTAACAGCCGTCAAAATAGCTGCCATCCATGAGTTTCTTTCTTCTTCAGAGAAGCAGCACAGGCAAAATGTTTTACCGTCCGCATGAATCTTCAAGAGAAACTTGCGTCTCTTGCTGTCTCCGACCTCATCAACTTGCATTGAGATGTCTTTGAAAGGAATAACGCCGAGTGCTGGTAGACCGCTACAATGACTTTTCTTCTTGTAGTAGAACAAGCCAGTTGTTTTAAGAATGAAGAATCGAGCTTTCCATAGCTTCCATACGCTTCTGCTTTGTTTGAATAGATACCCCTCTCTTAGCGTCGCTTCTCTGGTCGTTAAAATTGCCATGGCTCACTTAACCTTCACTGTATCAGGTACATGTATCTTCGGAAACAATATTTCTGGTGCTCTTAAGCAAAAAGGACGCTGATCTGAAATCTTTTGTTACAATGAGTATTTTATACCCTTAAAAAGTCCACCTTTGTTAGCTGAGGAAACTGCTGTCAGTCAAGGTTAAAAGCTTTGTGAGGTCGAAAGGCTATATTACAAACTATAAATGGCATTTTCTTTCAGTATTGTTACGTCATTAGTAAGGATCACACATCCGGTTGCATCTGGTCCGACATTCATGTGACTCATCTACATTTCGTAACAACGTCCCTTTCTAGGTTAAAAAAGAATAACAAACTCTCGAACTGTAAAAAAAACCGTAAATGGAGGTCAGTGAAGGAGAAAGTGTTTCTGTGAGCCCAAATTTAAATAAAATATGAGTGCCATCGGACCGGTGTTTAATAGGGGACGTCAAGCTTCACCTATTTTTGTTAAACTCATTTTCAATTGTTCATGTAATAACTCACGACGACAACGGCCACGGACATTTGCCTCGGGTTTTACTGGCACCTGACAAAAGACCTGACTGTCCTTTATTTTCTACAAAATCCGTTTTTAAGGCCTTTTTTAAAATAGCATTGTTCCACTCTTTCGTCAGACAATGTGATCGAAATATGCGTTCATGGGTAATCTTAGCAGCAGGACGCTTTTTTTTAAAACTAGTGTTATACTTCCCAGGCTAGACTGTTCACAGTCCCCTATTTTTTCGTGAGATCGTTTAGATATACCGCGTCTTACCGTCACGGGTATCTTGATTTTCAATGTGCCGAGGGGGCGGGCGTCGGGGATTATAGCTCTGGGGGCGGGGGAGGGGGAAAGGCGAGAAAAATAGATTTTTCTCGCTCCCTCCCAAACCACCGCCCCTGCCAAGTAGTTGTGACACTCATGGAAGATGGCAGCCCGTAACACAGAGCGCTCTATCTCGATGATCTTACGGAAAAATAGAGGACTGTGAACAGTCTATTCCCAGGCATACTTCGTTAAAGCGTTTACTGTAAAAGCTCATGTGCCATCCATTGTAAATGACCTATGATTCCAATTTTTGTAGACTGCGAGCAGTCTCTCGGGCGGCAGGCCGAGAGGAAAAAAGAGAGTCTCTCCCGTCTCGCGCCTTCAATAACCCGCGTGGTCATTTGCGTGTCTCGCGCGTTTTGCTCGATGGACCAAGAGAAAAGAGAGACTGCTCGTAGTCTAAATTGTTTTGCTCCTCTGCGGTGAACGCGCCAGCTTACACGATGGCTGCTAATGAGGGCGTCATAAAATCAATTGTATTAACTTTTTTACCGAGATGATTCAGATAAGGCATTTGAACGACACAGAAGCTGTATTCCAATAAATGACGTGAATATTTGAGAAACTGAAGCAGTTGTTTCATGGCCAATCAATCAATATCGAGGCATCCCCAAACAAAACTCAATTAAGTTAATCGTAATAAACAACTCTCCCCAAATTTCTGATCTTTCTTACGATCTATGTCCCAATATTCTGACGGGCAAAGTAAATTTTTACCAGGTGAATGGTTGGAAATGTTTTGAAAACGTTTTGTGTGAAGGAGAGTAACACGAGACTTGAGAAATGAAGGGCCACTTGAAATGCTTTCAATAGCAAAACTGGTCATCAGTTTTCGAAGTTAAGTTTTAATTTACATTATAAGTGCCTTTTTACCTAAGTTTTGGATCAATAATTAAAACAAATAAGTTTCATAGTTAATTATTTATAATCATTTAACTGACAACTGACATATGGCCAAAATTTTAACCGGACAACTGACATTTGTACCCCCCGCCACATCTCTCCAATTCAGACCCTATTTTAAATGAATAGAGAGTCGGATTGTCTAGCCTGCGAACGGCAGACGTTTCTCTTCGCTCATCGTCGCTGAGGACCGTTTCGCGAGAAAAGTCCCTCAGCGGCGATGAGCGATGAGAAACATCTGCCTTTCGCAGGCTACGGATTGTCTGGTTTCTGGTTTAAGGAACATCGGCTGACTAAACGATTAACATATATCTACATACGATAACATTACATTCCCATTCACGTACTACTTTTGCAACCATGATTTATTACCGCGGTGGATGTGGCTATTAAAATGCTCGATGGCCCAAAGGTAACTCAAGCTCATAAGTATTTATTCTTCTACCGGTCAGTATAAAACATGGACTGCGGACTGCGGACTGGGTATAAAATACGGACTAAGTATAAAATGAGGACTCCGGACTGAGTATAAAACAAGGACTGGGTATAAAACGCGGACTACGGACTATCTAAATAAAAATAGCTTTAGAAAGGTAAAACTGAGAGAAATGGAAAGCGGACTAGAAAAAACAGTAGTCCCAGCTTTAACATTCCCTCGGCTGTTCACGTATTCTATTCTTCCCACGGAGAAGGAAGGTTATGCCGGTACTCAAGGCATCTGAAATTTAACTCTGAATTTTATAAAAAGAAGAAGTTAGAAGAGATCTCAGTTTGCAGTTTTAAACCAATAAGAAGCACCGAATTAAAAAAATAGCATTGGTGTTAGTCAGATCAGTAAAATTCTTGTCGAATGCCACAATTCCGTATGAGGACTGAATGAAGAACTCAGACGAGAAGGTCAATGTAGGGCATTCCGCAATGCACAAAAGCGGTATTTAGGGGAGAGGGTAAGGGGGGAGGGATTACTCACATACGTGAATAATAACCTAAATGAGTCATCCAACGTTATATTCCAAGCGATGATTATGATGACATGATTTACACCCTGCTCCTGATCCCCGGAGGAGGGTACTACTGGGAATTCTTGGTGGGGGGTAATCTCGTACCCAGATCTCCCACGGCCAAGGGAAAGGGAAAAAAAAAAACAGAGTGAGATCTGGGTACGAGATTAGGTGGGGGGTGGTGCCCGGTTCTCCGAATCCTGACCTTATTGCAGACCAAAAAATATTATTTTCCACGCCCATTTTCAGACCAGATCTCTAAAATCTATATCCATTGTCGGTCCTGGCCTAATTTAGCCTGTTCCAGGCTCTCAGATAGTTGGGGAGACTCCCCAGTTTTTTCCCGTTTTATTTTCGTGTTCGCGCTTTCTCAATTCAGCGGACCCAGCTATCTCGGAGCCTGGAACAGGTTAGGTATAATTACGCTGAAATTATGTCATCATTACCAAGTTAGAGCGGAAACAAAAAAATTCTCCAAATGCATTTCGAATTCGCACATTTCTATTTTGTTCTTATTCATTTGGAATTGAAACGATAAATACGTCCATTCATGTACGCTCCCGTAGTTCCCTCGAAAAACCATACCCGATTCCAGACCAAAATGGGCAAAGTGTTTTCAGACCAAAAAGGCTCAAAACCCCTACCCTTCCCTTATATAAGGGAGTACCCCCCCTGATCCTGACCCTTTTCATGATTGTTAGAGACCGAGAAAAGGTCTAAAAATGGGTGAAGAAAATAGCATTTTGATCCGGCTCATGATTCAGAGAACCGGGCGGCACACCTCCACCAAGAATTTATAGGAGTATTTACAACTTTAACTCACGTGTCTTGCTATTTAGCGATCTTTTGATTTTATTTTTCCTTACCTACAACCAATTAGCACCATTTTTACCAAAGTAGTCCGTGGTCCGTATTTTATACCCATTCCGCAGTCTGCAGTCCGCGTTTTATACCCAGTCCATTTTTTCCAGTCCGCGTTTTATACCTAGTCCGTATTTTATACCCAGTCCGCAGTCCGCAGTCCATGTTTTATACTGACCGATTCCTCTACTAATAAATATTGAATGATAACCGCCTTTTCCCAACCTCGTTCCCAGGGTTTTCTCTCTCGCTCCGTAGGGCGGGTAGGAGAGAACCCTGGGAACGAGGTTGGCCTTTTTCCTTGTTGTTTCACGGTGTGTAGCGTCAATTTTCGTCATTTTAGGTTTTTGGAAAGATAGAAATAAAAGATAACAACAGATTGATGGTCTATTCCCGAAGGAGAAGAGGAGGGGGTGGGGGCATGCACTAAACAAAGATTTTACGGGGAGGTTCCGCCCCAAGCAGGATCCAACCCCTTACGCATTTAATTTTTAACCATTTTTGACAGAAAAGGTACCCCGTCCGATACTTTAAATTGACAAATGGTATCCCTTCCACATATAACGTTTAGAGCGTTACACCCCTTCAGGAGCCTAGACATAGTCATGGGCTCCTGCCGAAATGACAGTTATATACCTGAAGGACCTGAAGTCTGAAAAAGGAACCCCTTTCGGGTGGAGTCCCCAATATAGGCCAATGTAGAAAGTACCTGCCCAGGACGCAGGCTCGAAACTAAAAAGCTACAAATGTCTTGTTTGCCTTGTTTCTTACACCAACTTCCCCAAGTTGGTCATTCACTAGAAAGACCACGTGTCAGGAATTTTTCCAATCTCAGTAACTAAGTTCACCTGTCAGGTCTATCAGATCAAGAATCCGAGGATGAAATTTGCGTTTTGCAGAAATATATATATGACCATATATTTGCGTTCCACAAAACTCGCGGCTCGGGGGTTCGCCTTCATTTCATAGATTTATCAGAAAAAAAAATTACTTCACTTGAGCTTAAGCTTGAGGGTTCAAAGCTGTAGGGAAAATAATGGCAAAAAGGGCTATCCAGAAAGTTTATGGTGACTGGCAAAATACCAGGAACCGGGTAAGGGGCTCCTAAATACACTAGCGATGGTCCTTACAATACAGGCCCGCAGCAATATTATTCCTGTTGTAAGGGTGGGGAGGGGTTGACCTGAAAAAGTCAGTGCGTGATAAACGTGACAGCGCTATTGTACTTGCATCTTCTGTTGTGGTTTTCACTTAACATTACTGTGTTCTGGTCTTTTTGAAAAGATCTATTAAGTTTGGCAGAAAATATTTAAAAAAAAATATATTCATTGAAAAACACTCTCTATCAATATGATAAGGGCAATTATTTTTCCCACAATACTTTGGGCTATCCAGCTTTTGTTTACTGGACAAAACATATGGTGATTATTAAATTCTAAGCCTTCTCGTTGCCATTGTTGGAATGAATACGGGATTTGACAGACAAGAGTCCAACATAAACCAGTATTGAACAGTTTTAAGTCATTCTTTATATAATGTCCTCTATACCACTGACAGAACTAATTAAGAATCCAATACAAATATCAATCACACCTTTTATAATGTGAAAGCATTTGTTGCTATTAGGTACTTCAAAGCCATGACATTACTACCATGGACTACATGAAGGAGAGACCATTAGAAAGCGAAGTGTGAATTGGTTGGATTCTGCTCTGCATGATTATTATTCCAGGTTTTTTTTCCCTTAGCTTATATGTATTTTTTTTCAGCCTGTTCCAACTTTAGTATTTTTTCAAGTGATTTTCATGTATGGATAGGTTTGTTTTCCCCCCTACCATGTAACCTTTCTCATGGTGTAATGGGGCCGGGGAAGCATGTTCATAAAGTTCATAAGGATCTCTGTTGATAAATATTATGTAACTCTGTAACACCAGGACATGATCAATAAGATCAGGAACCAGAGCTAAAGTTTTCTGTGATACGATTCTCAGTGCAATTAAACAATGTCAATCATTAACGTATACATCCATGGTAATTTTCAAGGTCCTAGTTGTTCAAAAAATGGATAAGGCTATCTTCTGGATAAATCTCTATCCTATGCAATTGGGTTCACTAATATACACGTATACGCTAGATAGTGATTTTTTTCAGTAGATTGTACCATCCATTGTTTGAAAACCAAGGCCAGATCAGTAAAATATTACATTGTTATCTCTGTTAGCTATCTTCTCTGTCAAAACTTATTTGTAAGGCTAACAGAATGTAATCAAGTATAATCTTCCATATGTGTACATGACAAAAAGCCTTTTTAATAAATAATTATAGTAATCTTTTCACATATGACATTAGGGCTGGGTTGTTCAAACCTGGGTCACGACAACCCGAGGTTATTTCAAAATTGGAATTCACAAATTATAGCTTGAAAGGTAAATCCAATTTTATTTGTTTTGTCTATAATTTGATAAGTGGTTACTCCAAAAGGAACAAAACAAAATGAATCCCTGTTTAAAATAATTTAACCCCAGTTTAGCACTATATTCAGCCTTTGAACAACTGAGCTAAAAATGAATTATTTCATGTATACTTCACATCATGAGCTAAAAGAGTAAGCAATTATGTCATCAGTTAACAGGCATCTAAATTACAGATTTTTCCTTTTTTCCACCAGCAAAAGTAAAATGAAACAAAACTGAATGCAAGGCTGGCACTACGGCAAAGGGCTGATTTATTATAGGCCAATATTTCAGCTAAGAAAATTAGCCTTCCTCAGGGCCACAGCTACAGTGTATACCAAGAGAAAATATCTTTTAACGGCTCCTAAAATTTAAATTTAAAATAAGTTCCTTGTCTGCGATCAAGTGGCCAGGTTGATTAAAGTGGGAAGGGACTGCTACTGTGGCCAAACTACAGCAAAACAGGTACCTCGAAATGAAGCCTTAAAAGAGAATAAACCAGCCACCAGAGATAGAAGTGACTGAATCCCTCTTACAGTTACCTATAATCCAGCTCTATCTAACATCCATGACACACTCTGCAAGAAACAACCCATTCTACAATCCAATGAACACTTAAGAAACATCTTTAAAGAAGTACCTGTCGTCGCTTTGCGCCGTTCACCAAACCTTCGTGACCTACTCATTCATGCAAAATTTGCAAACAATGACAACACACCTAAAAACACAGGAAAACCAGGACCAATATTAAACATTACATTACTTGTGACTCACCAAACTTAACATAATTTATATAAAAATAGGTGAAACTAAACGCACACTTTGTGAACACTTTAAAGATCAGCCCTATGCCGTAGTGTCAGCCTTACATTCACTTTTGTTTCAGATCCAGCAAGAGAAACCAGTCAGTTACGGTATTTTTTCACTTATAAGGTGCAGCATTTTTTCAAAGAAAGTCTGCTTGATCGCTCTAAATCTGTTGTAATTTCGGGGTGCGTCTTATAACCGAGTATCTTTGGGCAACAAAACAAATTTGAGTCAAATCCTTGACTCTAAAAGCTCTAGCTGCTCATCCTCTTTTTTGTTACCGGTTTTCAATGACTTCTACATCTTCTAAAGCTGGTATTAAACGATCAAATGGTTTTGCATTCGAAACAAATCACTGACATCGATTGTTTTGAACTGAATGTTGATACTTGGTAACCAGGCAAATTTTTGAGCACGTGCTTGACCCAAGATGGCGGATTGTTTACAGTCATTTTCACACTGCGACCTTGCACTTGTTTCAGACCTTTATTTTCTGCAGAAAGCTCCCAAATCTGTTAATAGAACTGTGAAAACTCTTTTATCACAGTTATTTTGATAATCAAGGGCTTATTTTACCAGATTTGGCAGTAGCTGTTAATGAACAAAATATTCAGGCTCATGTATTACGCGATCGATTTTATCTTGATACTACCGATGAATGCACTGATGTCAATATGCCACAACCAAGACAACTGACTTGGAACAAAACGGAGTCCTTTAGTATTCACAGCCTTAGAAAACAATGCTTGTGTTGATAGGTGTGATTTTTTCGCTTTTGATCGATTATGTAACCTTTTTTGCTTTTGTTCACATAGGTGAATGGCCATAATCAGCGTCATTGGAAAGCATGTTGTTGTAGTTAAGGTGAACATTGCTGAAAATTGCGGTTGCGCCTTATAGCTGTGTATTTTGCCTTAATTTTCAGTTTGTCAACTTGGAAAAATCGTGTTGAAAAGTTTGGGGTGCGTCTTATAACCGAAAAAATACGGTATATTTACGTGTTGCGTCTGGACCTCTGCATTCAAACAATTTTTCCCATTTTTTTTAAAGTAAAATAGCTATTAGATTAGCATCATATTTTTAACATCATCATCATCATCATCATAATAATAATGATGAGTCACTATCCCCTATATCATCAAGGGACAGAGGAGCACCAAGACAGGGTCCTCAATTGAACCAGTAACACCTGTCATGAGTGTCACAGGTAAGGGTTACGGTTGTCAAAGGGAAGGGCTTTGACCAGTAGATCAATTCATGGAGCATGCCACAAAACAATAATCTGCTACAGTCATCTCTCATTATTTTGGACACTCGCAAGACTGCAAGTTACATGTATTGTCCTTAATAGTTTGTAATAAAGACAGTTTCTTCAGTTTGTTATTCATTTTTGGTGGGGATTTAGCCGATGTCAATATCATTGGTGGATGTCCACAAGATGAGAGTTAACCGTATGGAATCTGGCTTTTCTTACGATATTCTGTTATAAAGAATTATACAGGTCAAACAAGGTGTTATCTGTGTTAACCTGTGGTGTGTCAGTGAGTGAAAACCCTTCTTGATCTGCATAATTCTTCATAATAAACTCAGCCTCATTCATCCAAAAGGTGATGGTACTCCCCTATCCACCTGCTGGTGTTAGCTGACACTTACGATACTCGACTGACTGGCTTTCATACATTTGTAAAACAAAAATATCGAGTAACAATATGCAACATGACCGCCTTGTCAAATTGTAAGTTGCAAACGAAGAATGGCAATTATCACCCTTAATAAAGGGACTCAAAAGTTCCTTTAAGCTGTTTGAGTAGAACTGAAACTGGGCCGAGCCCTGGGCAGATATCATTGGCCTTACCAGGGCAGCTGTGATGAGTGTTGTCTAACTTCAGCGCCAGAAGATACGCTTCCACATCGTCCTGCGTGTTTAACTCACGACCAGAGGAGAAATTCTTGTGCGAAGCATGTTTCAACAAATTCTTGACAATGGCATCCACATTCTCGATTCCCTTTGCTTTCATTTCTTTTAAGGTTTCCTTTGACGGTAATCTGACGCGAGCATGGTCCATTCTGGAGACGATTGATTCCAAAATGTTCGTGTAATTTTCTTCCTCAATTGAATCATACAGCTCGTGTTCTTGTAGTTCTTTCAAGTTGTATCGAGAAGCGTATTCCACACAAACACTTTCCAGCTCCTTTAACTCGTACTTCTGTGCCAAAATGAGCAAGGAAATGGGATCCTGCTGATTGCTGCTCTTTTGTAACGTAACAAAATTGAGCTCATCTACTAGAAAGCATTCACACTTCTCAACAATAGATGCGATCTGATACTCCGTTGCCAGTTCCAAGATCTCCCTGTAATTTTCAGATGTAACCTCATCGTTGCCAGGTGGGTACATCATTATCAGCAAAGTTTTAACACTGTCTGCGTTTTTTCCCGCAAGCCAAATTTCAGATTTGCTCTTCTCCCTGGAAGCTGCGTTCAACATTTTCTCCAACACCGGCGACCACAACACGAGCACGTTTCGATGCACATGAAATCTTTTATCCTCTACCAGCAGGACAACATCGCTCATCTTCCACGGCTTTGAAAAATCTAATTTAGCTGCTGGCTCTTCGGTTCGAGCACGCTTAACTGAAGACATTCTTTGACAGAGGGCTTTGCTTTCTTCGCGTCGAAATGGTTTGGTTATCAGGGATGTCGGACGTCTGGTTCATCGATCTTCCCGCCGTTTTCAGCGAAGGGCGCGGGTTCTCTTGGGATAGCAAGGGGGTATCCTCTTAATATTTCAACTGCTGACCCCCCTCCCACGCCCACCAAAAAAAATTACAAGAAAAATAAACAAACAAACAAACAAATACAAAAAATATACAAGACCAAGACAAAAACAACAACAACAACAACAAACAAGAGCCTATTATGGCTCTTGCAACAAAATGTTAATACCGTCCTTCAACATCTAGGACCTCAACAACCTGAAAGGCTTAAAAAAGCTAATCGATTTTGTAGATATTCTAAATCACGGCTGAGTGAAACAGACTGTGGTTTCAGCCTCAGTCAAGTTAGTCTTTGCGGCCACATTCTTATTTTCGAACATTTTTAACTCCCACCAAATTAATTTTCCAGCCATATCGCGGCCAACACTTTAACGTCAATTTTGAAAGCTTTTTAAACAGCGACAAATAAACGATCTTTTTTAATTTTGAAGTGACTTCGAGTGACTGTTCTTGAAACACATGTACAGTGCAAATTTTTATCCAGTGATTTTTAAGAACTCTCGGTATCAGTTTCTGATCTTTAACACTGAGGTGCTCTACTCTTGGTTCTATTTTGGCTCAGTAGCACTAGATCCGGGTATCAATAGTAAGAAAGAAAATAACATTCACCTTTTAATAAGCACAGCTGTGTTGTTTAGTCATTAATTTAAAAAGCGACCGATATTCTTTTCAGTACATGAACAGATAAGTAGGATCAGTAGCGACTGATTCATGGTTCCTATTCCAGTGGTTTATCTAGCTCAGCATTACGTGCGTATCTCTAGTCTGATTGCGTATTGAAATGCTACGGAATACTGTGGGTAGTGTTGCATTTATTCATATGAAATGAAGCTATGATCGAGCGTTACAAGTGTTAATTGAGTAACACAGAAAAAGAAATGAACAATAGCAGTTTTATTAAAGTCTGTCTCCTCAGTCTATAGCCGTACTACCCGAAGACAAGCCTTCTCTTTAATCATAGTTTGTAGACTGGACCCTAACTAAGCTTTAATCAAAGCAGAAAAATCTTTTGTAAATCGAGCACAGAGCTTAGTCGACTCAGTGTTAGTGTCAACGGGGCATATTTACCAGGAAGAAGCCACGTTGACACCACTGCATAAGACTCATTTGCATAAGAATAAAGTAACTTATTAAAAAGGAGTGTCGGGTTTTAAGAAGTAAAAAGATCAATGGCTGCAAGTCGGATTGTACTTATCTCAGGCTGTTCCACTGGTATCGGGCTGTTTACAGCGTTGCTGTTAGCAAGCGATCCAGAGAAACGCTTTAAGGTTTACGCCACAATGAGGAACCTTGAGAAGAAGAGCGAGTTAGAAGAACGAGGCAGGGAATGCCTTGATGATTCTCTGATCATCAAGCAAATGGATGTCAGCTTCGCTGATTCGGTTAAAAGTTTAGTTGATGAAGTGCTCGCAAAAGAAGGAAAAATTGATGTTCTGAGTAAGTATTCGCTTGATCCTACGCTTTGGACCACTAATCCGGTCAAAGCATTATTAAAAATAGTGAATAAAGTAGAGGTCGATTGTACTGTAATTTGATGAGATTAGCCATAGAAAAACTATTTATAATGATTTTTCGGCGACTGTAAACAGAGCTCAGTAAAACAGGCCTAGTTTAATTATATTTCTGAGAACGAATCGGCCTTATAGCCTCGTATAGGGACAGAAAACTGCTTACTCTATTGTTCTTAAGCTGGCGGTCTGATTTCTTAGACAAGTACCGTAAAAACACGGTATCATGCTACTAATCCATAATAATTTGTCCTTGTAATCTTAAGAGCGTTTACATCAACGTACCCAAGGTAAATCTCACCACTTCAATGTCAAATTTGTTATTTAATTATTTTGCATGGGTGCTCTCTGCTCTGACTGCTGCAGTGAGATCAATAACAAGTACACAATGATATTTATATGCCAAACCGCAAGACCCATGTCAAACTAAAAGTATGTTATATATTGCAAGACATGTTCCTCTCGAAATTTAGGCCGAGGTCTCGAGGGGTTGAGGAAAGTAGTGTTAGTTGGGGGCACTCAAAGTAGTACACGAGGAGGCTCCCTCTCGGAGGTCAGACTCCTTACTAGCCGACGAAGGGGAAGTCTCTTTAGTATGACTAAGTCACTAACCAGGACGTTTTCTGGTCCTTTTCACAGCCCAAGTTCATGGCGTCTGTTTGATGGTTTTTAAATCTTTCTGCAGACCGAAATGACGTATTTCTCTCCCCTTTGATGTATAGTTGAACCTCTGCACTAGGGTCACCTTGCGAACAGAAGAAAGTTACAGGGAGGTGGCCGTTAATGGAGGTTCGATTGTACCTGAAGCAGTGAAGTCCCTACCCTTTCATATACCTGAAGCCTGAAAAAGGTACCCCTCTCTGGCGGAGCTCCCCGTATATACCATTTCAATAAATCCAGCTAGTGGTCTATTACCAATGCTGCGTTCTGATTGGTTGAGCTACTACTAGGCTATATGTTATAGCCCACTAGAAGCAAAAAGCATAGACGGCTGAATCGCGTTTTGCTAGCTAAAGTTGTTTTGTCTTGATATTTTTGACCAAATAGTTGGATATTACTGAAACAATTATTCCTCTCGCCCACATGGCCTGTGAGTCATAAGCCCATTCGGCCTTGGGCCTCATGGGCTATTGACTCAGAGCCCATTCGGGCTCGAGGAATAATTGTGAAATATATACCCCCGGTATCCATCAAAACAAAGATCTTTAATTTTTTTTTACCAGTTAACAACGCAGGGGTTGGATGTGTGACTGTATTGGAATGCATGGCCATGGATCAGATCAAACAAATGTTCGATGTGAATTTCTTTGGAGCTGTTGCGTTGATCCAGGCCGTTCTCCCCAGCATGAAAGAGAGACAGGAAGGTTACATTGTGAACGTAAGCAGTGTATTCGGGGTAACAGGAGGTCCATTTAACGATGTGTATACAGCGTCAAAGTTCGCTCTGGGAGGCATAACTGAATCTCTCGCCCCGGTATTAAAACAGTTCAATATAAAGTGAGTGCAACAGTGAAGTCTTAAGAGCTTTACATTAGCTTCCACCTACTAATCAGCCCCACCCACTGTTTGCGATGCGAGCTACAATGTGGTCACTTGTAAGTTTTCTTATAGCTGATCATAGGTGAAAGGTAGAGTGATGAAGCCTTTCCCCATTTGTATCCGTAGTAAAGGAAGAGAAAAGTTGTTTCTTCGCGTTTGTTTCATTCAAGCTGTTCACACACCTTTCATTTTCTCTTTATACGAGCGTTGAGTGTGCATATGAAAATAGAAACCGCGGGGCCTGTAACGGCATCCGCGTGCCCAAATTTTGTTTGGTAGTAGTTTTAGCTATTCTCTTTTTGTAACCGCATTTTACGTCACAATGATTCTCCTCTAGCCGTCACGTGACTTTAGCTTAAATATCGTAACACCTGCGTAGTTTTTTCTAAGGCTCACAGATAATCGACGGGTAACCATGTCAAGAAACGTCTTATTGCTATTGAACTCAGAACATACTAGAGCGCAAGGGGGGTGGGAAGGCGCAAAAAATAGGTTTTCTTGATTTTTCTCGCGCGCACACATTCTTGTCGGAAAGAAAAAAAACCTCTCTTGACAGGTTATGTTAAACCGTTCAACTTTGACGATCCCAACACTAAGTTCGCTGTGTTGAAGTCTTTCTTTGTAAGCCTAGAGAAGAGCATGGTCTAGGTGGTGAGTAGTGGTTTCTCCAGGGTCCGGCCTGGAGAAAACACTGCTCGCGCAGTAGTCTAGCTAAGTTGGTCAAAGTAATGTATAGTTGATTTAAGCTAAAATAACTTCAGTTTCATTGTAATCTTATAGGATTTCACTGGTCGAGCCAGGACCTGTCGTGACTTCTTTTATAAGTAACTTAAAAGATATGGCGGGGAAAGTTGACCTCTCTACCGCTGACCACAAATCTGTCCAACTCATGCAGTCTGTCATTTCCCGGATGGTTGATTTAACAGCTAACGTGGGGCAGGAATCACAGGAGATAGCTGAAACTATCAAAGAAATTGTGACGTCAAAGGAACCTCAGTTACGATATCTGACCAACAAATATTATGGGCTTGATGAAGCAAGATCTAAATTATGTGACCTTACAGGCGATAAGCTTGTGGAGGTCCTGGAGAAACGTTTCTTTATCAGTTAACCGAGACTGAGAAGCCTTCTTTTGGCTACTGTGTGTAAGTGGATAATAAACATGTAAAGTGAAATGAAATAAAGATGCAGTTTAAAAAATATTCCTGGTAGTACTTTTCTTATACCTGAAGGGTTTTTGTTATTAGCTAGTGACCCAGGTAGTGACCCTTTCAGTACTTCTCCCTTTTACCATGGCTCTTTTTTTTAGGCGTCTTTGATTTTTTATGCTTCATATTTGACTTGTCCCTTTTCACTTTTAAATTATTAACTATTGTCATGGAGACAGCATTACAGAAAATGTCGAAAAATGAAATCACGTTCATTCATGATCAGTCTTATAGCTGATTATTCCAACTCGGTTACTTTGTCAAATGTAGGTGAACTCTCCTGAAGTTGAATTCTTAATTCCTAACCTAGTGCAGTGACGGCACGTGGGTCCACGTGATGCACGTGCAAAGTTGTCGTTTACTAATTAGACCATGATAAACCGTTTTTTAGCCGTGCTTCGCTTCACTCACCCGTCCACACGAATCCGGATTTTTTTGAATCCGTAACCCTTTTTTCCGGATAGGGCTTTCTCGCCAATGTTTCTGCGATTTGTTATGAGTAAAATTTGATTTGATTTGTTATGAAGTGGAGGTGGCTAGTGGTGGGTAAGACCGCTGTAAATAGCTCAAGAAGTTCTCTAGACCTTCTGGAAAAAAAAAGGTCATGGAAAACCTGGAAAGTCATGTAATTTAGGAATTTCATTTTTCAGGCCTGGAAAGTCATGGAATTTAATTGCCGGTCCTTGAAAGTCATGGAAAATTAAAGTTTTGTTTGATAAATCAGTTACTGCAGATGACAAGGTAAGGACAATGCAAGATAGGGGGAGCAACTGAATAGTGCAAAAGGCATGCAGTTTGGTGGACACCAGAGTCTTGTGCCTGTTGAATTGTTTAAGGTAAAAAAATACCCTAAAACACGGAACGTTTTTAAAATTTCTGAAACTGACAGCTAAACCTAAGGTCTTTAAAAACTTGAAAAGGTTATGGGAAAAAGTTCTGGAAAGTCATGGAATTTGAAGAGCTCAAAAGAGACCGAACCCTGGGTCAGTGGTGACTAGAAAACTGTGATCACTACATCAGCCACCAGCTAACAAAACAAGCTACTTTTGTAACTCTTGCTCCATTTAATAAAAACCTATTTCAGCATCCAATTCTACCTGTTGTAGGAGGTAGATGTTAATATGAAGTTGAGTGGCGAAAAGCAAATTTGGCATTATATAATAGATAGTTTTCGGCAGTAATTAACTCTTTTCGCCCATTTTTCTCCATCTCCTATTCCACAGTTATTAATTTTACCTTCCTTATAAAACCAGAAAATAAAATCTAAGGGTTACTCACTCAATTCATTGGAAACAAATGAATCAGTCTGTACTCTGTCACAGAACTTGTACGTTTCACAACAAACAATGGCTATGTCAAGCACTGGTACGTTGAATGCCTACGCCATCATAGCAACCATAGAGGAACCAACACGTAAATTGACATAGCCATTGGCAAGCAAGGCATGGGCACCAAAGAAAACTTTAGACACCTGTGAGAGGGAGAATCAGCCCACACATTTCAACTAGCAGTTCCTAGTTTATACTGACTCCAACAAGTGTAGTATGTAACACCACTTGAATTTGCAATGGCTAGTTTATGTGACTTAATAACCTTGATGCCCACTAAATCTTTTTTTTGGGGGTGGGGGGGGGGGGGGGATTTTTAAGTTGCAACCTTCAAAACTTCATTCAGTACCATGGCTAATTTCCCACTCCGTACGTCTCTTTAGTTTGATTTTGAATGAACTTCTACTCTACAGACATTCCCTTGCGTATCATTACGTACCTCCTTAATGATATACGACAAGGCGCTAATTAATACATATGAACATCTGATCCCATGTTTCACCAGTCTTCTCAGACATTCTTGGCCCTAGATGAAGGAAAAAGAGCCTGTGAATGTTGTCTGTTCTGAGAAATGATGTGATCAACATGTCACGGGCGTGGGACAAAGAAAATGAAATCTGAGTCCCCAACAGGAATTCAACCTATGATCTTCCGTACACTGGTCGGATGCTCATTTATCAAACACATGGCAATTTCAACATTGCTGATCCTAGCAGTAGGCAGGATGCATGTCATGCATGAACCTTGTATATGGCCCAGCTTGCCACGAGTCTTTCGTAGCTAAGTGGTTAGAGCATCCGACCAGTGTATGGAAAGTCATAGTTTCAAATCCTGTCGAGGACTCAGAATTTTCGGCTTTGTCCCGTGTTGATCAAATCAATTCTCATTTCTTCACCGAGCTTAAAAATTACCATCACTAATTTATCACTTTGTCTGTTTTGTTTCTAACACAAAGGCCATTTATACAGTAATTAAGATACACGTATGTAATGTCTGAACAAATCCAAATGAGCAGTTAGCTACGTCCTATGAAACCCAAGAGTATAGGGGGGGAAAATAAAGAACAGTTAGACTGACCTAAATAAATAAAACACAAAATAAAAGTGTGTTAGACTATTTCTTTTTACAGAAATCCGTTTAATGTGGAAGATGTAAACCCTACCTTCAAACTTTGGTCTTGAGTCAACAACAACAACTCTGAACTCTTTTCCAGCATTGTGAGCATCTTTTAAAACTTTTAACAAAGCGAAGAACTTAAGATAAAAGAAGTAAAAAGTTAGCAGCGAATTAAATCTGATCAAAATACATGCAATGTACCCTGACAACAATTACAGGTTCACTTACAAACTCTTGCAGATTTAGCACTGAGTTAACTTGACTCACCAAGCATATGTTAGTATAACATCCCCCTCATTAATCTTGGTTCTCGCATATATCTCAGAGATAGCAACTCCAGCTAAAACGTTTTTTTCCTGGATAAATTTATCAATGCTCTTGATGAGATTGTTATTTGCCCTAAAATTATAAAGTAAATTATAATCCTTATTGGTTCTAGGTTTGATCTTACATTAAATATAATATAATTAGTAGTAGAATTGATTTTGAATTCAAAGGGAGATTCAGAATATTGACAAGACATGCAAAAATAATAATAAGTGTTAAGTGGTCCCGTGTCTTATTATTGGGCTGCCTGTGGCAAAGACCAATCTAAAATGAGTGGTGTTGTCTGTGCAGCAAAAGACAAAATGGCTGACAGATCATGCTACCCATCCCACTAAGATGAGGCACCTTTTTTCAATTATTGAGGGAAGGGGTGAGTCATTTCGGAAAAAAGAACTTGATACCGAAAACAATATCCTTGTATACAGATATTTGTCCTATATTTACTTTCACTTTTGAAGGGAGAGGCCTGGTTATTTAAGATGTACACAAGAAAAATGGGTGCCGTCAATTCCCTCAATATGAATACAAGTACAAATACCGTAAGCAAGTCTCCCTTTCGAAACAACAAAATATAGGTCTTATTTTTAACTTCCACATTTCCACAATGCACCCCTCCCCAGTCCCTCTAATCTCAAAAATATAGCATGACAGAACTGACAGGGTAAACTTTTAGTGTTTTGAAATACCGATACATACCAGTAATTTTCTGTTTTAGTTTTGATTTGCCTGATGTCATCAAAAGTTCCTCGTACTGTCCAGGTGAATGTGTTCTGTTTCACAAGGCAGCAGCCCAATGTACCCCAATTATCAGGGTCTTGTTTTATTGAAATATAACTGGGGTCTTTTCAGTACTGATCACTATCTATGACCTGATAGTTTATCAGTACATCAGCCACAGGTGCTGTGTACAATGTGTTATGTTACTGGTTCCTCAATCAGTGCTCTTAGGGTGTATAAAGGTTTCTGTGCACAGCATACCTGTTCTTCTGGCATGTCAGGAGACGAATGGGTAATCTCAAGCTTGAGGAATTTGATTGCATTACCCATACTAACAGACCGAGGACGGCACTGTGTCAAGAAACTGCAAAATACCAATGACATTTAAATATCAACAACAATGACAAAAAGACCGTGACATTGTATATAAAACATTCTTTATCAGGGAGGTCTAGTTTGGAAATGGTTCCCTTGCTGAGCCATGTTTTGTTACAAATTATACCATCAGATTATAAAAGAATGCAACTGCAACACTGTCAAATTTTAAGTCTTCTTGCTCAAAGCAGAGTATACCACTAAAACTGAACTGATCATTTTTAAGGCATTATTTTCCCTGTTGCCATGATGCAATAGTTAAAGGTCAAGTTCAACTTCTTAGAGGAGAAGTAGCCTGTGTACAGCGCCCCCCCACCCCCCAACCCTAAAAAAACTGAAATGAGGAGAAGACAACATTTTTTGTACAGTAGGTTAAAAGGTAGTGTCAGACAAAATGGAATAGCTACTGAGCTATTTTGCAAATTAGATTTTCGATTCTTGGACCACAAACAGTAAGAAATAATCAATACAGACATCAGTCTTGCAGTCTACTGTTAATAGGTTTATCAATGCACATCTGCTTGTCTCATTTAATTATTTTATAAAATTCACACAAAGTGATACCCAACCTTTTTGAAGGCCAGCAAAAGAGCCACACATCTTGCATTTGACCCGCAAATGATGCCTTTGGCATACTGCACTCCTAGAGTGATTATAGCTGGATGGATGTTACTGGCACTACCCAAACTTCAATCAAACAAGAAATGAACAAATCAAATTAAAATCAATTTCAATTTGATTCAGGTATCACCTAGACATTTGTCATACAATGTAATTTAAGGTACAGGTTTCTCAGCCCAAGTTAACCTCATACACTTCTCTGCAGTCAGATGAAAGTGAAATCCAAGTTCAACCCAAAATGAGACAAGCGCAAGATCTGGGCACAAGATTAGGCCAGTGTAAACACAACTGAGTTTTTTCAGATGATGCCATTCTACTTGGCATTTTTTATGAGAAAGCTCCACCAGTGCTCAGGCCTAATAAACAACTCTACAGAGTACAAGCCACAAGCCACTCTGCACTAGGCAATTCTGTATCTTACAACAACTTTTCCTTTGCTTAAGCCATGCTAGCAGCCACCTTTTTTCGTACACTGAATATTGCACAGAGATCAGTTATCAGGACTAACGACAGATTGTTTTGTAATCTCATGCCCAGAAGCCAAACGGAAGGCGAGATCTGGTCAAATCTGATTTGTACATGTGAACCTACCTGTCAGGAATGTCACAGGCAATGAAAGAGTGCGTGCCTTCAAGAAATAAATCCTAGACATTAGATTTGTTAAACAATGAATTTGATAGAGCCTTGATGTCTTCTCTAACAAACATGGTTAAAGAATATACACACACCATAAATATCAACCGACTAATTGTTATTGTTGTTCTTGTTCTTTGCAACAATATCAAATTCGACAAGACGGTTAATTCAAAATTAATTATCATAGCGCTCTATAAAAGCTCAAACCAGTATGTGTCAAATTCTATTTGAGAATTTTTTTACCCTTTTAAAAACTCCTTGTATTGATACCGAGAGAGAGTTTTAAAAAGTCTTAAAAGATTTAAAGATAAAACTGGTTTTACAAGTTATAATGAGACAAAAAACGTCTTCTTCACAACAATATTTCATTGAACAAAACTGAAGACTTCAAAAAGAATAAATTGCATGTGCCATATAGTGTGCACAGGAGAAAACCCTTGCATCATAATTTTGCTGACAATTAACCAAGCAAAAAACTGAATTTTCTTACTAGACCAGATCTCGCCTTCAGCTTCTTCAACAAGAGATCTAGAAACAAGATTAAGAGACTTGTCTATAACAAACTAAAAGCTAAGTTATTACTGTCATCAGCAACTTACTTTTATATCTTACCTTATTCCTTGCGTTAAGGACAAATTCTTTTCATATTGATGAAGGTGGGAAAACAAACCAACTTTCTTTTGAGTTGCAGTGCATTGGGGAACCTAAAGGCAAAACAAAAGTGTGAAGAAATACCTTTAGTTTTATCAACTTAGTTGATGAAGCAGGGGTGGACCCAGGATTTTTTTTAGGAGGGGGTGCACTCATCTCTTGCTCTAATTCAACACCAATAAGCCACATAGTTTTTTTTTTTGCAGAATACCAGTTGTATTAGAAAACCGCAGGTCATCAAAAGAAAGTTGGTTTGTTTTCCCACCTTCATCAATATGAAAAGAATTTGTCCTTTGGTTGGTAAAAGTATTATTATAGCCTGTGAATACAGATAAATCTATCATTGCCTGCAGCGGGAGGTGTTTTACAAGAGAGAAATCTGAGTTTTGGTCTCAAAACTTCCATACTAATGACACTCACATTTAGTAGTAGCAGATTAGTTATGGTGTACATAATCATTTTGATCTTGTGTTTGATTCTCCATGATCATTATTATAAAACTTTGCAGTCTTGCTGCCAATTTGGTGAAGGCTTAACTGAAATACTACTTGAAAAGCAAATATCCAGAGGAAATCAGTTTTTCTTGGTACACTGTAGACTCAGCACATTGTACTTTTGATCTTTGTAATCTTTTTTGTGACCCTCCATATGATTTCAGGGACAAAGGTAATAACATGCTCACAACATGCTTCCACTTAAAAACAAAAGAAATTGACTTTAACATACTTACAAAGCACGTTAGAGCACACTTTAATGAGCCTGTGCCTTTGTCTCACATAACACACTAAAAACAATAAAGCGTGCATCATAGAACAATGAAGCATGAGCAGCCTAACAAGGAAAACATGTTAACCTTCGATAACAAAAGCTAGCATGCGACAAGACACCAAACTCAAAGCGTCAAACTTAGTTTGCTAAATCATATGCAAACTTATGGGACGAGAAGTGAAAGTAATAATATTGTAATACAATCATTGTACAGTACTGTTATTCTTGATGTAAAAGCGGAAGCTCTTATCGGTAAATAATCAGTCAGCTTCATGATGAGAAAAACAAAGCTGAAACATTTTCTACAAAGGATGTCAAGGATTTTTAAATCAGACTCTTTAAATTTTTGGCTTGTGTGGGGCCTCTTTTTTTCCAAACATCACAAACGTTACTTCTTTAACAGGGTGTCCAGCGGCATGGTTGCTCAAAAAAATAGGAAAATAGGAAACTCAGGATTGTGAAAATAGGAAAAATAGGAAACTTTGAATTAAAAAATAGGAGAAAAATAGGAAAATCAAAAGTACTTTTGTCGACAAAGATAGCTTCCCTGCACCCCATAAGGGTTACAATAAAGGCTACGAGTCCTCAGATTCTATGTTCACAGGATTTAGATCAACTTTCGTGGCTAAGAAGGAGTGAAAATGATCAGTAACGTTTAGTTTATTGGCTCAGTTACACTGTATTAAATCAGAATGATATGATTGACTACAGGTCGAGCGTGGTTCTATGATCAAAGGTGATCATATGGAAATTCCCTTCAAGTTGACGGCAAATCTTTCAAAAGCTTTGGAGAGTGAAATTTCTTAGGATAGAAATTTCTTACGATTGAGTTGTCAAGGCTTTCCTTCCATTAATCTGCAATCGGTGGCTGGTTGAGAATATACTTGTTTGAGTCAAAAGACTGCATAATTTTAAGTAAGGAACTGGGCTCTCTGTGGTGTATGCAAAATGACACTGATCTATTTGGTACCAGATTGTAAGTGTGTCATGGTTAAGTTCTAAGAAGAACACAACACTGCTTAGCTATGACTGCAAGACCGATTTTCCAACCAAAATATTGGATCCTTCACCAGTTGCTTAGGTATAGCTGTTAACAAGGACTCACCAAGAGAACTAGTGCCGTAAACTAAACTTTAGTCTGTTCTTTTCATGTACAGCATCCAGAATCAGCTAGTGATTGCTTTTTAAAACAAGAAGCTGATTGGATGATTTATCTGGCCTGTGTTGTGAGAGGACAACTTGATCCTGTTTTCAGTTTCAAAGATGAACATAAAGCGAGCAAGACTTCAAAATAAAATATAACATGTACAGATACTGAAAAGCAGTTTCAGTGGGCTATGCAAAATATTTAACAATTATTCCTTGAGCCCGAATGGGCTCTGAGTCAATAGCGGCCGAATGGGCTATTGACTCAGAGGCCATGAGGGCGAGAGAAATAATTGCTTTAGTAAAATCCAACTGATTGGTCAAAAATATCGAGAATAAACTAATTTTACCTAGTTAAAGCTAGGCTTTAATCCTTTTTTGCTGCCAAAAAGCCCGCACTTTTCGCTACTAGTGGGCTATAACATATAGCCTAGTAGTAACTTAACCAATCAGAATGCAGCACTGATAATAGACCACTAGTTGGATTTTACTAATATTCAATAGTCATGAGGACTATAACACTTCATACAATACATGCAGGCGCAAGAGAAAATTTTACAAAAAGTAACAAGAAAAAAATGTTAACAGAACTCTAATAGGCAATAGAGGTCATGGAAAGAACAAACGTAACTGTCAGTTTTACTAATATTAGAACATCAAAGTCAACATGCTACTTGCTTTATGATAAATTTCACTGAAAAACACATACAACTATAATTCCATTTTTAACCAAATAGGAGAAAATAGGAATAGGCTCAAAAAATAGGAAAAAAATAGGAACTGGACACCCTGCTTTTAGCTTCCTTTTAGAGCACCTTCAAGTTCAAGGTTGAAAAATACTGAACAAATTGCCTCAACAACACGAGCTAACACGTCAACATAACCAAGTTGTTCATAAATCAAAAAACTTTAGCTATAAAACTCTTATTATGAAGCCTATCTTTTGAAGTGTAGAAAGTGTTTTTATTTTTGGAGAATAATGCGTATTTACATGTGTTTCATGTCATGGGTTGAATTGATTGAAGAAGATCAGGATATTGATGCTATTTTTTATTTTTTCATTAAGAACAATGGATTCCCAGTTACCCTTCTGCACTGGGATAGGAAAAGCAAAACATATTGTCAAAAGAATGGGGCTGGAATAAAAGTGGCACATTCTGTGACAAAGGATGACATAATTGAGGAGG